CAGACTGCGGAGGCTCCCTTATTTGTCCAACCCCCCCTTCCCTAGCTCCATCCACCTGGTAATGATTTCCTATGGAGTCTCCCAGGTGTCTCCATGGGGACATTTCCTGCTCCAATCTCCATGGCAACTCTTCAGGTTGCCATGGTGACACTTAAGCGATTATTTGGAGACCCTTAAGTAAATCACCCGTGCTGGTATATGCTAGAGGCAATTGGCTCTTGCTCTTCTGTCTGGGGCCAGGGTGGGGGCCCAGGCCCACAACTGGCAGAAAGTGGAAGCAGAGGTCAGGGCCTGCCGCCCCTGCTCTAGCTCTGTGAGGGGCCCTCTCTAGGAAAGTTGGAATGAAACCTTTGCAAAGTGGTGGAAAGAGGAGAAACAGTTGGGGCTTTGGCAGGCCTGGCCATGGCCTGAGCTGTGGCAGGACAAGCCCACCAAGGGCTACCAAGGGTCCCTCCAAGGGCGTGATGCTCTTTTTTTTTTTTTGTACTGTGATACTGTTTTTTTTTTTTTAAGATTTATTTATTTTTATTGGAAAGACAGATATACCGAGAGGAGAGACAGAGAGGAAGATCTTCTGTCCAATAGTTCACTCACCAAGTGACCACAATGGCTGGAGCTGAGCCAATCCGAAGCCAGGAGCCAGGAGCCAGGAGCTCTTCCAGGTCTCCCATGCAGGTGCAGGGTCCCAAGGCTTTGGGCCGTCCTCGACTGCTTTCCCAGGCCACAAGCAGGGAACTGGATGGGAAGCAGCACCGCCGGGATTAGAACTGGTGACCATATGGGATCCTGGCACATGCAAGTTGAGGACTTTAACCACTACACCATCATGCCAGGCCCCTGTGATGCTGTTTTTAAAATATTTTATTTATTTAAAACGTAGTGACAGAGAATTTTGCACTCATAGATTCTCTCCCCAAGTGGCTGCAATGGTCAGACAGAAGCAGGAACTTCATTGGAGTCTCCAGTGTGTGTGGCAGGGGCCCAAGCACTTGGTTATCATCTGCTGCCTTCCCCAGGTGCTTTCGCAGGGAGCTGGAATGGGATGTGGTCACTGCCTGTCTTGGCTTAACCTATTGGACCAGCCCCTTCTGTGTCTCCTAATGGTAGACTTTAACAGAGGATTTGGGATAGAATCCACTCCTTCCCGCATTCATTTATTTGACCAGCATTTCAAAGCACTGGCTATGATGATGAGCACTGGAGCTGTGGGTGGGTGGGAGGACAGCAGGCAGGTGGCGGTCTGTGTCAGGGTGTGGCGGTCACTGCTAAGCTGCAGCACACACTGGACATTTTCCAGAGGTCAGCTGCAGGTCTCAGTATAGTCCTGAAGAAGAGGATGAGGCTGGCACTGGACTCTGATGGGCAGCATCTGGCTCCTTCCATGTGCCCTGGCTGCACAGCTATGTGACATACAAAGGCTCCCGGCTTCTGGGTGTCTTACTCAGCAGCAGACAGATCCTGGTCCCTTTCAGATGGGGAAACAAATCCAGAAGGGATGCCTCCTGGCTCTGGTGTGGCCAGTCAGGTGCCACTTGGGATGCCTGAATGCTATCATGGAGGCCTGTTCTGAGTCAGCTCCCTGCTAAATGCACACACTGGAAGGCAGATGATAATGATGGCTCAAGTGTTTAAGCTCCTGCCACCCATGAGGGGAAGACCTGAAGAGAATTCTGGGATCCTGGTTCTAGCCTGGCCAAGCTCTGGCTATTACAGACCTTTGGAGGGAGTGAAGTAGCACTCACTTTCCTTCTCTCTGCACCTTCTAAATAAAAAGCTGCACTTAAGGCCCAATGTGATGCTTCAGTGGCTAAGTCCTTGTCTTCCATGTACCAGAATATCGCATGGGCATTAGTTCATGCCTTGGCTATTTCATTCCCTATCCAGCTTTGTGCTTGTGGTCCATGAAAGCAGTAGATGGGCCAAAGCCTTGGGAGCTCCTGGCTCCTGACCAGCTCATCTCTGGCTATTGCAGCCACTTGGGGACTGAACCAGTGGGCAGAAGAGCTTTCTTTCTGTAAATCTCCTTTCTAGAAGACTGCCTTTCCAATGAAAATAAATCTTTAAAAACAAAAAAAGCTCAGTACCTCGTGTCCTGAAGGCTAAGCCACCTGTCCTGTACACCTGCAGAGACCCTGGTGTGTGCTTCTAACCTAGACCACATGCCCTTGACTCAGAACCTTACCAGAGTCCACTAATGCCTGCTGTCCATCCTGGAGGCCTCGGGTCTTAATTCAGGGACAGGACAGGTAGGTGGGCACAAGAGCCCTATTCCTGTAACCTCTGACTTCTCGGATCCATGAGCATTCCTCCAGGAAGTGGGCTTACACAGCCCAAGTTCCTCTGCAGAGTGGTGAGTCTTGTGTGTGACTTATCTGCCCTCCAACAGGCCTTGGGTTTGGGGCCAGGTTCATAGGCAACAGAGGGCAATTTATTCTAGGCCCTAGGAGGCAGTGAGGGGCAGTTTTCCTGGATGGTGAGTGGCCAGCCTCAGGCTGTGTAGCCAAACTGCAGCAATCCAAGATGTGCTGTCAGGTTCCACACGCATTGCACTCCAAAAATTTAACAGGAGGAATGTAAATGAGCTTGTTTGTAACCTACTTCCTGTGTTACTAGTAGACACTGTTAATCCCTCCAGTTTCTTTAAAATTTCCACTTATTTCTTGTTATTTTGAGATGCCAAGAAAAACCATTTATTGGTCCCTTTTCCTAAATGCCAGCAACTGTTGTACATGGACCAGACTGAAGCCAAGTCTCAAACTCCATCTTGGCTCTCCCACATCGGTGTCAAGGATCCAAGCACCTGTTGCTATAATGGTGTGTATTAACAGGAAGCAGGATGGGAAGCAGCAGCTGGGACACAGGCCCGTGTTCCAAAGGGGATTCAGTGTCACAGGCAGCAGCTGGACTTGGTGACACAATGACAGCCCTAGAGCAAACTGCTTGGCTTGGTGGTGCCTGGGTTCCCCTCGGCCACTTGGGGGCAAACTGCCATCAGTCCTGGTGAGCCTGCTGTGAACCCATGGCAAGGGCAGTCTTAGGGTTGAACATTACATGGCTTTGGCCAATATGTCCCAACTGGGACCCCTGGGCTGTGTGTGGCCCTTGGAAAGGCACTGTCAGCTCCCTCCACAACACTCAGAACTTTGCAGAACCAGCACAGCTATAAGGTGCTGCTGTGACTTCACTGTCAGGGAATGAGTTAAAAATAATGGACAAGATCTCATATTGCACCAGCAAGGTGCAGTGTAGTGACACACACTGCCTCCCACCTATCCTTCAGCTGTAGTTTCTGGCCCCAAAGGCAACCATTTGGCCAGCTTCTCAAGTAAAAGTCAAGTTCCCCTTCATGGGACATTCTGTTACACGGCAGACCTGAGCAATCCTACCAATATCCATCTCTCATCTGTCTCCCTCTAAAAACCCTGTATCTCTGAACTGTCTCACTCCCTGACCACTCATGACACAGATCCCATCTAATTCAAATGTTCTGGGCTCCAGCCACTTGTTTGCCAATGTCATTGTCACCCTCCTTCTCACAGAGATCTACTGATAAGGCAGAATGAGGCAGGTGCATGCCCTGGGAGGCTGGATCCCAAGGTGAATTAAAAAGGGCCGAGCTCCAGCCAGGCCAAGCACAGGATTTTGAGTGAACTAGTGGATAGGAGTTCTCAACCTCTCCAATTAAAATAAGCAGTAGATGAGGCTGAGCCAGCCCAAAGCCAGCTTCTGGATCTCCCAAATGGGTGCTGGGTCCCAAGGCTTTGGGGTCATCCTCTACTGCTTTCCTAGGCCCTAAGCAGGGAGCTATCTAGGACATGCACCAACACAAATATGGGATCTCGGTGCGTGCAAGTTTAGCCACCGAGACATCTTGCTGGGCCCAGGAACCCTGTTTCCCACATTGAGTTGCAGCTGCTCTACTTCTGATCTAGTTGCTTACTCACCCATCTGGGAAGCACAGCAGATGACAACCCAAGTATGTGAGTCGCTGCTGCTCATGGGGGAGATGTGGATATGGTTCTTAGCTCCTGGTTTGAACTTAGCCCAACACTGGTTATTGTGTCAACTTTGGGAGTGAACAACTGGTCTCCCATCTGCATGCAGGGACTCCAGTTAAGAACCTCTTACTTTCCCAGATGCTTAAGCAGGAAGCAGGATCAGAAGTTGACAACCCATGATTTCATGAAAATCTGGTGTTGCAGGCTGCTTAACTTGCTGTGCCATGCTGGCCCCTCAAATAAATCTTTAGAACAAAAAATACCTAATGTGTACAGTGTGCTAAACACTCTGTGCCAAACTTTATACTCAGTGTCATGGTTAACAACACCAAGCCTGCGTTATGCACTACTGGACAGTTTTGTCAGCGATGAGTAAAAGGACATTAGCAGGGGTTAAATCATTGTCTCAAAGTCACCAGCTGGAAAGGGGCAGGTGGGATTTGAATCCTGACACTATGATGGTTAAATCCAGGTCTCTTAATGAGACCCTGGCCAGATGGTGAGCTCCATTTCTGTAGTGATCTCCTAAGGGCCCATATTCTTGGGAGCTTAAGTACTTCTGGATGTAATATGTTTACACATCAACACTGCAGAAGTTGGGGTTGGCCTGAGGACGTGAAGCATCCTTTCCTAGTGACTGCCTCTGTCTGGGACACAACAGCAAGAATCTAAGCCCAAGGGAAAAAGGCCAAACTGGTGGTGTAGAAACCTTGAAGCAGGAAGTTGGGACCAGAAGATTGTGGTCAGGGGCCTCTGGGTGGCCTGAGGCGCTGAGCTCACCCACACAGGCTAGACCCGTAATTGTGTGCTTCTGACCCGTGTACTGGGTTGCTGCTGCTCACTGGTGTACTGCACTTGTTTGCTTCAGCCCCATCTGTGAACTCTTGGCAGCTGGACCAGCACCTTGCACCCCTGTTTATACTTTCTGCTGCACTCCCAGTACCTAGAATGTCTTGGGGAGTGCAGGCCCTAAATCTGTCATAAAGGGATGGTCCTGGTCAGGTGGCATGTCTTGCTGGGTCTGAATTACAGAGGGGTGACCTTCCTTTCTAGCTTCCAAGAAGCAAGGGTGCAATGAGTGAGCAGAGGCAGGGGATGTTTCTCATCTGAGGAGTCGGAGACTAACTACCTTGCTTCATCCACCACCTACAAGGATGACTTCCCTTTTCTGAATTTTGGCAGAAAAACAACAGTGATCTGCCAACACACAGCAAAAATTCAAGGAAAGTAGTCAATGCTTAGCGGCAGGCTCAATCAGACGTGAATCAGTACACACCTTGAAACTGGGACCCAGTACCATGACTACCATGACTTAGCTGACAGAGAGTGTCCATATTGGGATCCCAACCCCAAAGGGCCAGGCAACGCAAGGGTTTTAACCATGTTCTTAGATTTTAATCCCTTCCGCACAAAGGATGTTAAAAACACAGAAGAATGGACAGACTGCTGAGCAAACATGGAACTGTTTGGGGAGGAGACCAAAGTTAAATGTTATTCTTTCTAATAGGTGAGGAGAGTAGCTGCTAAGTCTTCAAGGGTTGACACTGTGGCATAGCAAATTAAGTTTCTGCCTGCAACACCTCCATCCCATATGGGTGTTCAAGTTACAGATCCAGCTCAGTTGGTGCTCCTGGGAAGGCAGCATATGTTCCAAGGATTTGGGCCCTGCATTTGCATTGGAGACCTGGAGAAGGCTCTGAGCTCCTGGCTGTGGCCTGGCCCAGCAAATGGAAGCTTCTCTTTCCTTCTTTAATTCTGCCTTCCAAATAAAACAAAAATCTTAAGTTTGGCTTTCTAGCAAGCTCTTAAGACAGCACTGCTAGGCAAGAGGCATGGAGAATTTCAACACCCAGAATGGGATATGATGGGGACATGGATTGGGCCACCACTGACCATGGCCATGTCAGGACACATGGCTGCATCCCTGGGAGATGTGCTCCTTTATGTAAATGCCCATCCCAAGGTCAGCCTTGTTCTAGAATGCCACATATGGATGTGTACTCATCAATCACAATCATCTCACACAATGATTTGCCCAAGTAGGGGGTGGCTGCTGGCAGCACTGTCTTTCTCACTCCTGGAGGGCTTTCCTCCCTCTCCAGGGGGTCCACACACAGCACAGCAGGGGCCCTTGGCAGAGCTCTTCAATGGAAACACTGAATCAGCAGTTGTTCTTTGTCATGAACCCAGCTAGCACAGTGCCAAGATATAGGGGACCAAACATCAAGGACCATGGCATTTTTCACATCATGGAGGCACCAAGAGAAATACATGGGCCAGCCTGAGCAAACAGGGAGGACACATTGCCCAGCCACACATCCTCACATGTGCCTTCACGGAGCAATGGCTGAGGGTAGCTCAAAACCCCAGAGCATGGGAGAGAAGGCTCTCATTCTACCAGCCACCAGGAAGCTCTGCGACATTAATGAACTCAGGAACATCCAAAGAACTGAGTCCATAAAACACCACTCAAGTTCATACGCTTTTTTTTTTTTAACTGTACCCATCTCTTTAATCAGCCAAACCAAACGCCTTGCTTCCACAGTAAGCTTCTCTTCAGTGTGGGCTGCTGCTGCTTCTGGGGCAACCGTGATATTTCAAAAGAACCTTCCCAACTGCACAGGGCCAGACAAGAGGGTCACACTTCCGGCTAGGCGACTATGGCTGTGACACTCCCTGAGAGGCAGGAAGGGCCAGAAGGGGTGCTAGTGCTGGGAAAGGAGGTTGTTCTTTCAAAGGAGGGTGCCATGGCCCTCTGCAGTCCTTTCCCTGGCCCTGGTCCAATTCCAGGGAGCGAGTCCAGGACAAAGAGCACACTGTCTCTGCAAGACAAGCTGCTTACGTTTCTTCCCTCCATTGCACAAAAGCCCCTCCAAAGCCTTAACCCTGCAGGAGTGCTGCAGCCAGGGGCAGACGCCTGAGAAGGCGGTGAGCATGTGTCTTCCAGGAGTTCCTGCTGCTCTCCCAGCCTCAGGGGCAGACTTCTGTTGTAATGGGAGTTGAACACTGCCCAAGGAGCCTGCTGTGGCTGATCAGTGTGTGACCCCAACTCCAGCGGATGCCCAGCCCTGTGACTCAGTGATCCTCAGACTCTTGTCTGCCTAGACTTAGGACAGCCTTTCCCATGAGCTCTGGGCCACTGCACCCAACATGCACATGGTTGTGGATACCAGTGACAGGCAGTGCAGTGGTCCCGACCGACCTTCCCCCAAAGCTCCAAACCATCTCATCCCCACCTCAGCAGGACACAACCTCAGAAGAGCCCTCTGTGGTCAGAAAGCATGGCATGGTTTGTCGCAAGGGATCAGAGGTAGAGGAACACAGCAGGGCAGTTAGAGGCATCCATGTTCCAATGCAGCCCAGGATTTGCACAGGCTGAGCTTGGTTATGAATTCAAGATGGTTCAATCTGCTTGATCAGTGTTTTCCCCTGGAGCTTCTGTGTCTGGTTTCTCAGTTTCTGTAGCTTCTTGGTTTCAAAAGTAATTCTAACTCCTTCCAATGGAACAAAAAACCAACAGTAACAGTGTTTCCAGGAGCATGTCATGTAGTGAAAGTCCAAGTAATGAACTAAGAATGTACCTTGGGCTGTGTGGGACTCAGATCTGGCTCGTGGTCAGGCATGAAGACTCCACTGGGAATTGATGGATGGATATGCAGTGACGCCCACCTGGGGTCCCCTTCCAGTTTAGGGAGGCAAGGTGGGAAGGTAGAGCAGAGACATCTCTAGTGAGTTTCAAATAAAACCCTCAGTTCCCCCAAGCATTGTGGGGTAGGCAGGTGTAACGGTGTGAGCTGTTGCACATCAGAAGAGCTGCTGGTGGGGATGCAGGAACCGTGCAGGCACCAGGGCCTCTATCCCAGGGGACACAGAGCTCTCCAAGGCAGATAGGGCAGGGTGCTGAGGCTGCAAATGAGACTACGTGACAAGGGGGATGTGGAATTCATTTGTGTCGAAGATCAAAGGCCTCTTGGGAGGGTTTGGGTCCCTGTTGGCCTTGTGGAGCAGCTTGAAGAGGCCTGTGCCAATGTTCATTGGGATTCCCATGATGATGCACTCGGACACCCCTGCAACAAGTAGAACGGAGATCAGAGAGCGCAATACACAGGATCCAGTCGTGAGGCAGAAATCACTAATTTGGGCACCAGGAAACTGAAGTTTAGCTCTCAGTCCCACTCTTTCAATTAGCTGAATGTGGGCAAGTTACTTCTTGTCCTGCTTGCAAGTGGCCATGCTCCTGGACCTTTGGGGAAGGAGGGCGTCTGCTCCCAGCCCAGCAACCAGCTGGACATGAGGTGAGCCCAGCCATTTCCTCTCCCATCGGGGCCAAAGGTGCCCTGTGGGCCTGCTTGGGTACACTCAACTCAGATAATAAAACATTGAATAAAGCTCACCCCAGACTCCTTAGAAGAAGGGCAAGCGATGGTAGCACAGTAGTGAGCAGATAACATTGCCCTGGGAAACGACAAAGATGGCTGCCAGCTGTGGCTAGGGGAAGGGCTGGGCCAGGCGCAAGAGCTCCGGAGCAGAGCAGTGGGGACTCACAGCCCTAATGAGAAACACTCAGCAGCCAGGGTTCCTGTGGAGTTACAGGAGGGGGTGGTGCGGATTCTTTCTCCAAGCTCTGTTTCAGTTCTAACAAGACACAAATGTTGGCCATGAGGCTCTGGCTTCTACGTGCCAGGCTATGTGCCATTATTATTATTATTTGCCAGAGAGGCAAATAATCAGACTAAAACTGTGCAGAGTAAAGGCTGGCATGGGTTACAGTGTGCAAAAGGACCAGGAGGAGGGGACCATGTTCAAGTTGGTGCGGGACGATGCTGGGCCCCCAGGGGAGCAGGGCTGAGAAGCAGCGGAGGCCCAGCTTCTTGGGGTTGGGGTGCTGGCACTTCCTCCTCCAGGTCAGGCCTACTTACTCCTCCTTTTGACTTGGTTTGGGCCTCTTCTGTTGTCCATTACACTTCCCTCTTGCCCACCCAAACCTTGGCTACTTTGTCCTTCTCCTCCTTAGCTTAAAGAATCATGTCATTTCTCTTTCCTTCCATCTCTAGTCTGCACTCCTTTTGAGAGAATTCATCTGAAGAACACACAATGGGTATGTGCTCTGGCGGTGAGCTCGCCTGATCACCATGCAGTTTCCAAACCCACAGCTGTAGGAGGGGAAACAGGAAGCAAAACTCTGGCTCAGGAGTGGCAGCCAGGTTCCAAGTTTCTGTTTGGGCCTCAATAGTACCTGCCCTGGGCCGGTCACTGACTCTCCTGAGCTCCAGACTCTCCCTCACTCCCACCTTGGGCCTTCAGTGTCTGAAGGGAGAGGCAGCCAACACTCCCAGTTCCTACTCCCAGTTCCCCCAGCGCTAGGCTTTATGGCAAGGAAAGGCTGAGGGTGGGCACAAGGGGGAAGCCCTGCAGCTGATCTGGCCAGCCCAGTGTGCTAGGCTGAGGCAGGGCTGCCCACCACATCTCACGGGGCGCTGAGACACTCTGCATCAATGGCATCTGGCTCAGGGCTCAATAGTTATATACAGGATGCCTGCCCGCTGCCTTTCCTGTCACCTCTGGGGGCTGTGACAGTGCCTTTCCTGCAACTGTGGGAGAGGAAGCTGGTTCAGTGTGGCCAAGTACAACTTCAGGAAAAAGCTCTGCCAGTCTAGTTCCATTTTTCCTTCTTGAACCAAAACCTACACATGTGTGGGATATGCACAGTGCACAGCTGCTTGGGGCCGTCCTTTACTGCTTTCCCAGGCCACAAGCAGGGAGCTGGATGAGAAATGGATCAGCTGGGACATCAAACGGTGCCCATATTTTGGATCCTGGCAGATATAAGGCAAAAATTAGCCACTAGGCTATTGTGCCGGGCCCTGTGCCTTATCCCCCGCCTTTTTTTCTTGAAGATTTATTTATTTTTATTGGGCTGTCAGGTCTACAGAGAGAAGGAGAGACAGAGAGCAAGATCGTCCAACTGCTGGTTCACTCCACAAGTGCTGCAACAGCTGGAGCTGGGATGATCTGAAGTCAGGAGCCAGAAGCTTCCTCTTGGTGTCCCATGTTGATGCAGGGTCCTAAGGGTTTGGGCTATCCTCTACTTTCCAGGCTACAAGCAGAGAGCTGGAAGGGAAGTCAAGCAACCAGGATATGAACTGGCACCTATATGTGATTCCGGGTGTGCAAGGCGAGGACTTTAGCCTCTAGGCTAGGCTACTTCACCGGGCCTCCTATGCCTTACTCTTAAAAACATTAAAGCTCCTGGGTATACATGCACACATATGTGTGTGTGTATATGTATATACATATGTGTGTGTATGTAGGGGGCAGTGACAATGAAGTGGTATAGTAGGCTAATCTTCTACCTGCCATGCTGTATCAGCTGCTGCAATTCTTCCCAGCTCCCTGCCAATGGCCTGGAAAATCATAAGAAAATGGCCTAAAGCCTTGGGCCCTGGCACCCACATGGGAGACCAGGACGAAGTTTCTGGTTCCTGGCTATGGCCTTGCTCAGCCTTGTCCATTGTGGCCATTTGGGGAGTGAACCAGCAAATTGAAGATCTCTGTCCCCATCTCTTGGTAACTACTTCCCAAATAAATTAAAAGCAAAACAAGAAAACAAAAGCCCAGGTACACAGCTGTGTCTCAGGCATCCTTGGCATGGTCCCTGGTGTAAGGAAAGCTTCTGACTTTCAGCTTCACTCCCAGACACGGCAAACCTACCACACACGGAGTCCTTCTGCCCGAAGTAGGCGGCATCGAAGAGATGGTCAGCTGTCTTCTCGAAGGAAGCCAGCATCAGCACACTCTCCTTCATCTTGGCCAGGCCAAAGCGGGTGATGCCCAGGACCTCGCCCTGCACCAGGAGACAGACAATCAGAGGGGCACTCAGGCCGCTCAAGAGAGCACAACCGAAGGTCTGTGCGGCCCCTCTACAAAACAAACCCAGACCAGCTAAGCGGCAGCTCAGGCGGCAGAGGCAGGCCTGAAAGGAACCTCGTGCCTGTGTGTCCATCCCCTGGGGCCACGTGGGGAGCAGCTGCTGGAACGGAGCCTCTCACCCCTGCCTACAAGTGGTCGCAACAGAGACCTGGGCGGCTCACTTCAAGAAGTGGGAATGCTTCTTATGGTGTTTAGTAGGACTCAAAGCACTAAAACTGAAGATAAGGCAGGCCAAGAATACCATACCATCATTACAAAAGTGTGTTCATTTTCACTGCAAGATAAGGCAAATAATCAGTGTTACAAACCACATGCACCTACAGAGAAGTGGTGTGCATATCTACAGCAAGACTAGAAAGGTGGCCAGCCACCAGCTGCTGTCTTAATGCTAGTTAAGGCAGAACATGAAAGCCTGCGGTTCCAGGGCGCTGAGAGGGAAAGCAATTTTTGGACAAAAACAGAGGGAAAAGTATCTGGGCAGGCTCAGCACTGCAGCCCAGCCTCCCGCCTGAGATCCTGCGAATTCAGACAAGAACAAGCGGCTCTGCTCTTGTGCTCCTCACCTCCCCTTGTGGCCCGAGCATGCCAGGATGCTGTTATTCAGCGGGGATTTGAACAGGACACCTGGCCTGTCCACCCATGTCTAGTTTCTGGGTTGCAGTGGTGTCTCGTTAACCGCCCAGGAGGCCTTGCCCACACACCTTGTAGGTCATTAGGTCAGACAGCAGCATGACGTGCCTCCTGTCGATGCTCATGCCATGGTTGACCATCGTATACTGGATTTCATTGATGATGGTGGTCCGGGCTGCCTCGATGCCCAGCGTCTTCTCCACCTGTGCAAAACTAGGGATCAGTGGAGGCGGAGACTTCCAGAGCACTACAGCCACTGGGTGTCCACTTCCCTCCTCTATCCTGTGGGTTCAAGGCACACCTGCACTGTTTCTTAAAAGTGGACTGTAAGCCATTCTTCATGGTTGACCCAGAGAAACAGAAGGGTCAGAGAAGTTTGTTGGGAATGAGCTGGGGGTTAGCTGGCTTAAGAGAGCCAGGTGGACTCTGAGTGGACGAAGGGTAGGTAGTACCTCATAGGTGTTGTTGGAGGTGGTTTGAGTGCCTCGCACACCGTGGGTGGCCATGACTGCCCGCAGGTTATCGCCTTCCACCAGGAGTTTGTACTTTTCCTTCCCGCTCTGCTCATCGATGTGGATGACAGCTCTAGACACTTCTGGGATGCCCTGCACCACCACCTGGATCCAGAGACACAGTGGGCTCCACACACTGCAACATCCACGGCCCCACCACCCTCAAAATCACAGCAGCTCTATGGGCTGGTTAGGGGAGGCCCTGGGGCTGTGGTGTGGCCTTCTCACCACAGAACCAGGTGGGCCAGGGCCAGGAAGAAAAGCAAAAGATGCTGTCCCTAGGCTGGGTGGTGACAATGTCCCTGGGGCTCCATTGCTGGGTGTCCCTATTCCAGGTAAATGCTGGCTCTCCACCGGGGGTGACACCACCTCACCTTGGGGAGATCCTCCTTGAGGAACTGTAGCACGTAGTACATGGAGCTTTTGCTGTTCTCTCTGGGGGTGACACACACCACGGCCTCGCCATGAACAGCCACGTCACCCGGCTTCACACGTAGCTTGGATGTGCAGATAGAGTATCGTACAGTCTCAGCATTCACCTGCATGGCAGTCAGGTGGCTGTTATGGAGCTTTCCATATTGCACACATACCTGCTTACAAACTGTACCTCTGTGCTTTATGCATCCAAACCAAAGGGTTGCTTTACCCTCCCCCCTACCCAGAACCAACATTTGCTCCACTGAGAATTCATGCTCGATTCAGGACAGCATGAGGACTGCACCAGGCCTCGGTGAACCAGCCACTCAACTGCCATCACCACAGCTGCCCGGGTGTCACCCAGCTCGTGTGGTGAAACGACACATGCTGCCATAATCCCTCACACTGCAGAACGGCCTGCCAGGCTTCAGAGTCAATAATTACAAGGGTGACACACGAATTTGATAGCAGGAACTGGGCTGGAGGAACGTGTTTTAAAGGCAAAGGCAGTTCTCAATCCCTGAGGGCAAGAGGAAGGTACAAGGACGTAGCTTAGTTTCCAAGATACTCCTTGTCACAGTCTGAAAGGCTGGTCATCTTTCAACTTCACCTATCCATAAACACCAGGCTAACAAGTTGAGTTAATCTCCCCATCAAAACTCATTTGCTGAACGAAGCAAACAGCAGGGGGAGTCAGCTACGGATTGGGACACTAGCATTCCACAGCAAGGTACCGCCTGATATTCGGTCCCAGAACCTCGATTTCCAATTCATCCTTCTCCTAACACATCCTGGGAGGCAGCTCAAGTGCTCAGGCCCTTGCAATCCAAACGAGGGACACAAATGGAGTTGCAGGCTTCTGGCAAGTGCTGGCTGTTGTGGGCATTTGCAAAGTGAACCAGCAGATGGAAGAGTTCTCTCTGCAGGCTACTCTGCTTTTCAAATGAATTTTTAAAAATCTTAAAAAAAATAATATTTTACGGAAGCAATCAACTATTGCGCTGGGAACCCACAGGTAAGTAAGACACTGTTGGCCTGAGGTCCTTCCAGACACTGGGGAAGGTGGATAAGGTGATGTGTTATCACAGTGCAGGCCACAAGACTTCAAGTGAGGTCCTGTGTGTCTGGACGGCCTGTCAAGAGCAGGCTTTAAGAAAACAATTTTAAGTTAGTTTATTTGAAAGATAGAGCTCTCCTCCATCTTTCATTTGTTTCATTTTCTAAATGCTCACAATGGTCCCAGGGGCCATGAACTCCAGCTGGGTCTTCCACATGTGTGTCAGGAACCCAACGCCCTGAGCCATCATCGCTGTCTGCACAGGTCTCCATTAACAGGAAGCTGCAGGAGGAGTGGAGCTGGATATCAAACCCAGGAACTCTGATGTGGGACATGCACGTCTTTACTGGTAAGTCAAGTGCCCAGCCCAGGGCAGGTGTAGCAAGAGGGAATGTGAAGGCACAGAATCCCAACACCAGACCTGCTGGAAGCCCCTGTGACACTCCCCTGGTCTCACCCAGCCCTTGCCTTGGGCTATCAGCACCTATCTGGGGATTAACAGGACACTTTCCTACACATTTAAAGATGTGACTCACTTCCAGTCTGAGAAGCCTGATCCTCTCCAGGGAAAGCTTGACCAGAATGAAGCAGTCATCAGGAAGAAATACTTCTTCGATGTACTCCGAAATCTGTAGTGGCAAAACATTAGAGTGTCAATCACTCCTTTCCCTTTCCCAAGAGCAGAAGACCTCCCGCCTTTGTACACTTTTTTTTTTAGGTGCTGGCATAGTGTGGTCCTGACTGACGGGTTCATCCACTGTGTCTGGTCTTAACACCTGTTCCACCACTGCTGACCCAGTTTTCTGGTTTCTAAGAGGGTGTCTCACCTCCCCCAAGAGGGTTTTCTCGATTCTCCCTTTCACGAGGCGGGCGTAGTCTGCATCATCATCCTTGTCTAGCTGTGCTGTGATAATTGGAGTGCTGCAGGAAGCAAGGGAGGAATGGTTACGGCACTTGCAGTGAGCCTGCTTGTAACATCGAGTCCTAACTGCAGTTAATTGAGCGTTCACTGTGTGTTGGCTGTGCTAAGTGATGAAGGGCTTTGCACAAGATTTCGGTTTAGATGTATTATTTTGGAAGCTCCCCAAGCAGTTCCCGCCACCAGTGTATGAAAAGGCAAGCAGAGCATTGGTTCTTACAATGATCCTACCGCTCTCTCTTTGGTCCTCAGAAGCAGTTGCCTTGGTTCTGCTCCATAAGGACACTTGTCCCTCACATCCCACAGCTGAGTCCACCCCTCTCCAAATACACTGCTGGCTCCCCCCCACCCCCCAACCACCTGGACCTGTGTCCTCAACACACACATTCCTGCGACTGACCCGGCCAGCCCAGGGAGGCAGGCAGTGCTCCTGACTCCCCGTATAGCCACAGCGATGTTCCTAACAAGTGCAGCAATCTTGATTAATATCTTGCATTGTCATTTTTTGAGTCAGATCATGCACAATACAAGTCTTCTCATCAGAGACACTGTAAGGTATTTTAACTACTTGTAGCCCGAGATCACCTACAAACCCGAACATGAAACTACTGGGGACCATAGGCCCGGCGGCGTGGTCTAGTGGCTAAAGTCCTCGCCTTGAACGCCCCGGGATCCCATTTGGGCGCTGGTTCTAATCCTGGGAGCCCCACTTCCCATCCAGCTCCCTGCTTGTGGTCCGGGAAAGCAGTTGAGGACAGCCCAGTGCTTTGGGACCCTGCACCCGTGTGGGAGACCTGAAAGAAGTTCCTGGATCCTGGCTTTGAATCGGCATAGCATTGGCCGTTGCGCTCACTTGGGGAGTGAATCACCGGATGGAAGATCTTCCTCTCTGTCTCTCCTCCTCTCTGTATATCTGACTTTGTAATAAAAATAAATAAACCTTAAAAAAAAAGAAACTACTGGGGACCAATTACATTAAAAACATGCAATCTACTGACACGTGGCTCCAATTTTTCTAGTTATTTTTCATACTTCTCATCTGACTTGTGGCCATAAAAAGCCACTGCTTTCATTTTGAGTACCCACCTTCAACTTATGTTTTTGAGTAACATTACAAAAAATCTAAATGTGATGAACATATCAAGCATGCTTATCAGAGTGTGAGACACTGTCCCATGTATGCATGTGACCATGTGACACAAGGATCACATGGCTCAACTGGCTAATCCTCCACCTCCAAGTGCCAGTATCCCCTATGGGTGCCAGTTCGTGTCTTGGCTGCTCCACTTCCTTGGGACCCTGCACACACATGAGACCCAGAAGAGGCTTCTGGCTCCTGGTTTTGGATTGGCTCAGCTCTGGACATTGTGGCCATTTGCGGAGTGAACCAGCAGATGGAAGATCTGTCAATCTGCTTGTCCAATGAAAACAAATAAACCTTAAAAAAAAAAGAAGAAGACCAGAGTTTCTCAGGGGACAGGATAGACACACAGGCACATGAGGGATCCAGGCACCTGATGGCTTTGGAGGCATTGATGATCTCCTTGATACGGGGGACGCCCAGCGTGATGTTCATGGAGGCCACACCCGCAAAGTGGAAAGTCTTCAGCGTCATCTGGGTACCCGGTTCACCAATACTCTGGGCACAAAGTGCACCCACAGCAGACCCCGGCTCCATCTGTGCTCTAGAGGAAAGAGGCATGAAGGAGAATGCAGCATGACAGAGATGAGACCATTAGGCTCCTAGGTGGGACTCGTGGTGACCCTCTCTTAACAGACACCACTGGGGTCAGGATGGAATGGGCAATGGGTGAGGGAACAGGTGCTACTCGTGTTCCATGTGGCTACGCGTGTTTAGCATGTGGTGCATGGGCCTGGGACCTCAGGTCTAATACTAGTAGCCACTAAGTGATGTTGGGGTAACGGGAGAGTTGAGAGACCCACACGGATACCCAGCAGTCTCGGTAAGTAGCTCCCCTACCTCATGTACTTGTCCCGACAGGTGTCCAGAAACTTCTCTATCTGGGTGGGGGTGATGCGATCTAGCTGGTACAGCACGCGGGGCTGGAAGAACAATGCCAATTGTAGTTAGGACTGGAAACATCTGCAAATACCTTGGGGCCTTGACATGCCTGGGAAGGCTCTCACCTCGGTTGTGCCATTATCATTGATGCCGTATTTATCTCTGGTTTTCTTGATCCTCTCAGAAACCCCATTAATGAATTTCTTGATTTCCTGAAAAGATGACACAGTTATCAGCAGGTATGTCTCTTAGAGATTCATGTCACACAGCTCAGCCACTAAACCTGATCAATTCACAAGTTTTTACTATCTGGGAGACAGGTAGATATACACAGGCATACTTGGCTTTATTGCACTGAACAGAAAAGTCAAGGTTTCGGCAGCTTTCAGAAGTCTGCCCACATCATTCTGCACCAGCAGGAGTTTATCTCTGCACTCTGCAGGTGTTTTCATTCAGTCTGTTATGATGGTGTGTGACCAGTGATCTGACACCACCACATTTTAAGGCACCACAAGCCACACCCACTTAGGTGGTGAACTCAAGCCATCCATGTTGCATATGTTCTGACTGTCTCACCAGCTGCTCCCCCATCTCTCTCCCTCCTCAGGCCCCCCTACTGCCTGAGGTCAATTAACAGCTGCACACCATTCCAGTGAAAGGAAGAGCTGTACACCTTGTCAGTTTTAAGCAGAAGCTAGAAATGATCACACCGAGTAAGGCAGATATACTGAAGGTACACACAGGGCAAAAGTTAGGCCTCATGCACCCAACAGATGAGCTGTGAATGTGAAGGAAAGTTCTGGAATAAAATGTGTTCACCTCACTGATCAAACAAGCAACAACAACCCCTGTAGCCAAAGATTAATCTAGAGTAAGATCCTACTTCCCTTCACCTCTGTGAGAATCAAGAGAGGTGACAAACTGACTCCAGAGCTAGCTTCACATACTGCAAGGTGAGGCAATGAGGGCTGAGGCAGGATGGCAGGTCAGATGGCCTCAGCTTGAGGACGCTGCCATCTTAGAGCTATCAACACCTCCAAGCTCCAATGACAGCCTAGGACGGCAGTTGATGATGTTAAGCTGAAGCTGAGGCCAATTTACCACTCTGAAAGTGCTGGGGCTGTTAAGGATCTGCTCTATCCATGCTCAACCCATCAAACAAGACCTGAATGACACAGCATGTGCTTACAATAGGGCTTCGTGAGGATTCTAAGGCCACTGCTGAGATCTACTACCCAAAAAGTTTGAGCTGTGACAAAGAAGCATGAGGCTGAGGTGGCTAACACTGCAGCCATTTTGCAGCCCAGGGATCAAGGATCAGATGTGACTGTCAAGGGTCATCTTATAAAAAAAAAAAAAGATTATTTATTTATTTATTTTTTAAAGGTTTACTTTATTTTTATTGGAAAGGCGGATATACAGAGAGGAGAGACAGAGAGGAAGATCTTCCGTCCGATGATTCACTCCCCAAGTGAGCGCAACGGCCGATGCTATGCCGATCTGAAGCCAGGAACTTCTTTCAGGTCTCCCACACGGGTGCAGGGTCCCAAAGCTTTGGGCCATTGTTGACTGCTTTCCCGGGCCACAGGCAGGGAGCTGGAAGGGAAGTGGGGCTGCTGGATTAGAACCAGCACCCATATGGGATCCTGGACGTTCAAGGTGAGGACCTTAACCACTGCGCCATCGCGCCGGGCCCAAAAAAAGATTTATTTTTATTGTAAAGTCAGATACACAGAGAGTCTGTGGAGAGACAGAGAGGAAGGTCTTCCATCCAATGATTTATTCCCCAAGTGGCCTTGACAGCTGGAGGTGCGCCGACCCGAACCCAGGAGCCCAGAGCCTCTTTCAGGTTTCCCACGCGGGTGCAGGGTCTGAACGCCTTGAACTTCCTTAACCTCTTTCCCTGGCCACAACCAGGGAGCTAGATGGATGGCAGGGCTGCCAGGGTGTGAACTGGCCCCCATATGGGATCCTGGCGTGTGTAATGCGAGAACTTTGGCTGCTAGGCTACTGTATGGGGCCCCAAGGGTCATTATTTTAAAAATGCATTTTGTAGGGCTAGTGGTATATAGAATGTTGGTAATGACATTGCCGGTAATGCCAACATTCCATTTAGGTGCTAGTTCCCAGCTGCTCCAGTTCTGATCTAGTTCCCTGCTTCCAGATTAGGAGAAACAGAGGGAGATAAGCCTAGTGCTTGGACTCCTATCATCCAAGTGGGAGGCCTGGAAGAAACTCCAGGCTCCTGGTGTGGCCTGCCCTAGCCCTGGACATTGAACCCATCAGCGCAGTGAACCAGCAGATGGAAGATCTCTCTTCTGTCTCTCCCTTTCTGTAACTTTCAAATAAACAAATGAATTAAAAAAAAAATGCCTAGGCCATAGCTGCTACAGTTAGTGATTCTTGAGATGCATTTGGGTCAGAGAAATCAGAAATTTGATTTCACAATTCTCTAGTTGCCATTAAGAAGTTATGACTCTCAGAAGCTCAAAATATCAACATTATCAGGGTCATGATTTCAACTGTTATTGATAACTTCAAAGGGCTGAAGATATCAATGAAGAAAAGAATTGAAGATGCATATTAGAAGCATATTCTAGGAGGCAGGCAGTGTGATCACTGGGTCGAGCTGCCTCTTGGATGTCCACACTCCATACTGAAGGTCTGGTACTGACCCAGTACTGGGTCCTGCCTCTGAACACTTTAGCTTGTTAATGTACCCAGGAGGACCAGGAGGCAGCAAATGACAGCCCAACTTTTTGGATTCCACCCACCCACCACATAGGAGACTTAAATGAAGCTCGTGGCTTTAGCCTGGTTCAGGCTTCCCAGCTGTGAGCTTAGGCCATACAGGCTATAGCTGTAGCCTGCAATGCTGGCAACCCATACAAATACACAGAGACAACTTCCATCCACTGGCTCACTCCCAACAGCCACAATGGCCAGAACTGGGTTGGAGCCTGGAGTGCCTTCCGGGTCATCTTCTGCTGTCCCCCTAGGCCACTAGAATAGGGAGCTGGATTGGAAGTGGACAGACTGTACTTCTCTACAGCTCCTTCCTAGGAACAGAATTCTGGAAAAACTACAGAGGCAATGAGCTTGAAGTGCACTCCAGCCTGCTGCAGGTGCCCAGCTGCTATGTGACTGTCCAAGGTCAGGGCCACCACATACACAGGTGAATGTGTAGGCTGACATGAGGGTATACACTCTGCTGCCAGAACCTCATGAAATCTTGCTCTTCAATCCCAGGGTGCTTGTGGGCTCTCAAGGAGCAGGCTGGCATATCCTGTCCAAAGGCTACACAGTCCCTCCTGACTGAGAATGTGCAAGCCTGAGACAGATGGCTTACTTTCACAAAAATGAAATCATTCAAGGGACCCAGAGAACTTAAGATCCTCCCCCTCAGCCCTATTCTGTAAGGCAGAATTAGGCAGAAGGAGAGACAGATCTTTCATCTGCAATAGCCAGGGCTGAGCCAGGCTGGAACCAGTAGCTGGAAGCCTCCACCCAGTCTCTCACTGGGCCATCCTCTGCTGCTCTTCCAGAACACGAGCAGGGAGCTGGATTAGAAGTGGAGCAGCCAAGACGTGAATGGGTGCTCAACATGGATGCTAGCACCTGAAGCTTCTATTGGCAGTGTTAGCCCCTCTATTTAATCTTGACTTTTCAAAAATAAATCAAGATTTCCACAGACTACCAGCAATTTCTAATCCCACTTTTTCTTAATAGCACAACCCTAGCCAACTCTTTTTTTCTGAGAAAGCAAACACATGGTTACCCAGCTGCTCGTCAATGACTCTATACAGAAAGACTTTTAGTCAATAAATGACCGCAATTCTGCATGAACTTGAATATTCTCAAGAGGTTCTTCTGTGCTCAGGGTTAGTGTTGCGGTATAGTGAGATAAGCTGTCTGCAATGCTGGCATCCATATTGGAGCAGTTCTGAGTACCACTAACTTCACTTTTTTTTAAAAAGATTTATTTTTTTTTACTGGAAAGGCAGATTTACAGAGAAGGAGAAACAGAAAGATCTTACATCCATTGGTGTACTTCCCAAATGGCAGCAATGGCTGGTGCTAAGCTGGTCTAAAATCAGGAGCTTCTTCCAAGCCTCCCACATAGTTGTAGGACTCCACTACAATGGTCCATCCTCCACTGATTTCCTAGGCCACTAGCACGGAGCTGGATGGGCAGTGGAGTACCTGGGACATGAACCAGTGTCCTATGGAATGCTGGCACTTGGAGGTGTAGGATTAGCTAGTGAAGCCAACGTGTCGGCCCCAGTAACTTCACTTTTGATCCAACTCCCTGATAACATGCCTAGAAAAGCTGCAGACGATAAGCCCAGATGTTTGGGTCCATGCCACCCACGTGAGATAAAAAGTGGAATTCTAGGTGTTTGACTGTAGCTTGGCCCAGAAAGGGCCACTGTGACCATTTGGGAAATGAGCCAGTGGATGAAAGATCTTTCTTCTCTTTCTCTCAGTAATTGTTTCAAACAAGTAATAGTTTTTACAAATTTAAATAAAAATGTACTCCCCAGACTCATTCACTAGGACTCTAAGATCACATTTCCAACTGTGGTCAGTTATTGTCAACTTTAAGGGGAAAGCAACTGGAGAGGGCAGGGGCAGAATCCAGGGCACTTCTGCTCTATCAATCCGGGCGGCCAGCGTCCTCCCCTGCTACCTGTCCCGCTGTGGATGGCTCTTTGCTCTGTGTTGTTGCTCCACCACCAAGTATCGCAGGTTGCTTCTACTGCTACACAGGGGACACAGTAGCTGACAGAAGGGCAACCAGCCCCAATGGGGGAAGGGATTACACACACTTAATCCACCCCCCAGCTGGGAATGAACACTTTGGGAAACGAGTGACTTTCCAATGGGGTTAGAGCAGATGTCCTGAGAGATAGCTTGAGATCCAGTGCTTGGGCCCAGTGCAATACCCTAGCGCCTAAAGTCCTCGCCTTGCATGCACCAGAATCACATATGGGTGACAGTTCTAACAACGGTGGCCTGCATCTCATCCAGTACCCTGCTTGTGGCCTGGGAAAGCAGTTGAGGACGGCCCAAGGCCTTGGGACCCTGAGCTGCGTGGGAGACCTGGAGGAGGCTCTGGGCTCCTGGGTTCAGATCGATGCTCCAGCTGTTGAGGTCGCTTGAGGAGTGAATCATAGGAGGGAAGATCTTCCTCTTTGTATATCTCACTTTGCAATAAAAATAAATCTTAAAAAACAAAAACAAAAACAACAACAACAACAACAACAACAAAAAGCAACCCAGCACTCAGGCTCACCTACCTGGTAGAAGCGAAAACAGAACACAGCTGTGACAACCCATACACCCCCAGAGGGAACTCACACCATGGCAATCGGCAGGCAATTAATCACACGAGTAACCAGCTGTTAGAATGTCCCAAATACCCCAAAGCAAGACTGCCAGCAGGGTCCTGTGTCTCAGGCAGGGACAAATACTGCCCTTTAAAGGGTCCTGTGTTACTCTGTGTCAAAGGCAAGAAAGACTCCACAGAGCAACTGTATTTGCCGGCACTGGAGTAGAAGTCTGCTGGATCCAGGGGCAGAAAACTGCTGGGGTGCTGCCAGAGCTCACCCCATTTCACTCAGCACTCATGGCATATTAGACACTTTACCTCATTGTATTTCTTATAACCTGTCTCAGTGAAGGCCTTAAATGGAAAAACAAACAAGTAAACATACACCTGCAGAAGAATCACACTGCAATTCTCACTTGTTCAAATAGAAAATCAAGTCACCTCTGGAGAAGGAAAAGCAACCAAGGTGTGTAGCTGCCCCCACCCCCATGCCCTTGATTTGAAACCTTTGAACCCTGAAGAGCTCTACTCTACACTCCCACCTACCAGCAGAAGGAGAGAGAAGCTATGACAGCGCAACTCTCTATTCTCAACATTTTATAAGGCAACACGTTCCTCCACGGCCTGATGATAATGTGTTGTGTTTGAACTACATCAGGATGGCAAGAGACGCAGTTGCAGATTCCTGGCTCCCTCCCCTTTCCCTCTAGCCATTACAGAGACGCTTTGTATGATTAAAAGGGTGTCCAGCACACAGCTCTCTAGAATAAGGAAGCCAACTTAATGGATTTCTGAGTTGTAATATGGTAAGAGAAAGAGCGGCTTCGAACTGGGCATTGGAACTCCACCAGTGCTGTTCCTGCTTCTGTGAACCAGCGATGCAGAATGGGCAGGAGGAGCTGGGTCACAGGGGAAGGCAGGCAAGGGGCAAGTGGCTCAGACAGTTTTACATTTTTAACATTTAGTCTATTAATTTTTATTAGTTTCTTAACTAGTGCATTTTATTTCTGTGTGTTAGACATAAACTAAGAAATGAAATTCTACCTGTTGCTTGATAAGATTTTGCTGAGGCCATTCTGAACTTGTAAAATAGAAAAATGATCACAGCAAAGCAGACAAAAGCTCTGGTTTGTAAACTCTAATGCTGGCAGCTACCAAGCAGCTGCCTCCCTCTGGGCCCCGACACAGGCACACAAGGTGTGGTGGGCGGTATCTGGTCCCGTTCAGGGGGCTTACCTGCAGGAAGCTGTCCTGGCAGCAGAGGAACTCGCTTTTCTTCAGGATGGATTCAGTGGTCAGGATCAGTTCCTTTTTGCTGAGAGCAGGCTCTTTCTGACACGGGAAGACTGCCTCAAGTTTGAGAAGGAAACAGTGTTACCTGGGGTGGGCCAGATGGACACAGGGCCTGTGCTAGATGCAAGAATCAATCCTCTTTACCCAGGCTGAGTTTTTGATAATCACACACTGACACTGAAAATGGAGACCCCTAGGCTATTCAGGCAATGTACCACTGCTTCCCAACTTTCTCCCTTCCCCAGATTTGCACCAAAATATAAACTGTCTAAGAAAATCTCAAAAGCTTGAGAGCAAAAAGTTTCCTATTGTTCAGGCACACTGGAATTTCCCAACATGTTAAATTCTCAATAGTTATTTTTTTATGTATTTGAAGCAAGAGAGATTTCACTCCCCAAATGCTGTGACAGCTGAGACTTGGCCAGGTGGAAGCCAGGAGCCTGGCACTCCATCAGGGTTTCCAATGTGAGTGGCAGAGACTCAAGTAACTGAGCCATCACCTGCTGCCTCCCAGCGTATACGTGATAAAAAAGGCTGGACAGGAGATGGAACAGCTGGGACTTGAACAAAGCACTCCAAAATGGGATGTGGGTATCCTACATGGGGACTTATATCCAGATCGGTATCACAAACTGATATTCCAAATTATGCCCCAAGTTAAATGTCCTCAGAAGCACTCCAGCCCCAGAAACCACTAAATCTTACTCTGATGTTGTCCAGGACCCTTTTAAACTCCAAAGGTTCGTCTTTTCCTTCCATAGCTGCAGGGTCCAAGCCATCTCCCCCGTAAATAAACTGGATGATATCACCGGTAGAGCTTCGAACTGTCAAATCATACTGGGAGCACAGGTCTTCAAGGGATTTCACGAGCCTTCTCTAAAGCACAATGAGCAGAAAGATCAGTGGCTTTGAGAGAACCAGTCACAGGTGGCAGAGGACGAGATTTGCAACTCTAAGGGTCAAGGTCATATACACACAATCACATAGAAGTATTTCCTCTGCAATCCCTTAGGGAGCATCCCCTCACTCCTAAGGATGGAAGGTGAAGTGTGCCTCACAGCCTGTGCGGTGGGATTCTGTGCATACATGACTTTCAGAGCACATGCAGCTCAAACCCCATCACCCCAAAGGACTCTGCAAACACAGATTGTTTTTTTAGGCTGTCCTGCCTTCCCTTCTCTCTCCTCAAGGTATAAATTAATACAAAGTTTCACATTTCTAAACGCAAGTTAAGCTAGGACCCCTGTAGACTTCAGTATAAATTACAGTAGATCAGCTGCAGGCCCTCTGCTGGGTCAATAGAGAAGGAGGGAACAGGGACAGCTTTGTGTCTGACCCAGTGGGCAGCGGGCAGCAGGCAGCCCTCAGATCTGCTTGGAGCGTCTTCCACTGGCACAATGCTTCAGCCAGCAACACCATGGTGGCTTGGTGGATTAAAGACAAAGGATGAACCTTCCTCCAGGCAATTTAAAAATAACAAAAATCCCTCATGCCAAAATGAATTTGTTATAGGTTATAACACGCTGCTCTGGGAAAATCACACTGTGTACTTCAAAAATGCAAAGACGAAAAACACAGTCAGAGCACATCACGGCAAGCGCGGGGAAAGCATTTCAGAGTGCTGTGCTTGACAAAAGCAGCACGCTCCAAAACCAAAAGGCAGGTTCCCATCCAGACACGATGAAACACATCAGATAATGACACATGAGTCACAGGAGAGCCTAGGGGAGTACGTGTCCACTGATGGCTCCATTCTCCCCCACTTGCTCACATCTCTCCTTACTAATCCTCGTTTTCCATCGTCCACCATGGGGCAGAGGTCACAAAGCCACAGCAGGTTTCTGGCCAAGTAAGCCAGACTGCTGATTTTTTACCTTGCATTGGCAAGTAGTTGAAAATATTAAAAAAAATTTTCCCCCAACAAACATGGTTAAATTATGGAGGACAGAGCATAAAGATCACTGGAGAATAAGAGATCCCACTCTGTGGTCTGTGGCATGTGACAGGGTCAGGTGCTCGTTTCCCTGCCGTGAGGGGGGACTGTGTGGTAAAATCAGTGTAGGGGAAGGAGGGTCACAGTGCAGACCACCCTCTGGTTATCAGGCTAGTCACACACTCATGGCACACACAGCCTTGCCTGCCGTGTGTGTCCCAATCCTCTGATGGGCACTGGGAGGTTAGTGGAGCCACTGACTACAGTAATATGTCACATATGCAGCAGTGAGAGCAGGATCCCTTCCCCACCCGTGTCAGGAAGCAGGGCTCAGTGAGGTTCTGTGACGTGGAGACCAGACTCCTCCAAGGGAGCACTGATGCCTGGGCTCGGGTCTGGCCTCAACGACCGTGGGCACACAGGATGGTTTGGAACACATCACAGCAATGATGCCTCCTTACCCCGTGGCCTTATTTCCATGGCATCTATGTTTTCATGTTTCTCCCTTTAAGTATCAAGACAGGGTAAATTACAGTTCATGTATGAAATATGTAAATGCCCTGCTTTGCTGTTAGTGGCTCACTTCTCTCCAAATTACCTGCATGTAACCCGTCTCGGCTGTCTTGACCGCTGTGTCAACAAGACCTTCCCGACCGGCCATCGTGTGGAAGAAGAACTCGGTGGGGGTTAAGCCCGAGTAAAAGCTATTAGCCACAAAGCCCTTGGCAGCTGGGAGCTACATAGAAGTAGGGAAAAAGAAAAAATCCATCTGAAAGAGTTGAAGACCCACAGCATTTTAGAAAATGCAATCATAGCATGTCCTACCTCTGCACTACAAATACCTGGCCCACATATTCTCACAAAGCAGCAGGCAAGGGCCTGGTGCGGTAGTTTAGCGGTCAAAGTTGCAGCCTTGCAAATGCCGCTTTGTATCCTAGCTGTTCCACTTTCCCTTCAGCTCCCTGCTTGTGGCCTGGGAAAGCAGGAGAGGTCGGTTCAAAGCCTTGGGACTCTGCACCTACTTGGGAGACCTGAAAGAGGCCCCTGGCTTTGGATCGGCTCAATCCCGGCTGCTGCAGCCACTTACGGAGTGAGCTGGTAGATGGAAGATCTTTCTGTCTCTCCTTCTCTCTGTAAATCTGACTTTCCAATAAAAATAAATAAGTATTTGGAAAACAAAAACAAAGCAGCAGCAGGCTACATATGTCTCTCCCTGAAGGAGAAATAATTTGGAGAAAACCTCCTGAACAGGCATAAGAAAGGTACACTGCCAGCTGGAGTTGGCCCTGAGGCCAGAGGTGGGCAGCTGGCTCAGGAGAGGACAATGACAGCTGCACAAGCCTGAAGAGCTGCTGAGCGCCACACTTCAAACAGGTGAGCTCTCAAGGACACATTAAAAGCACTCCAGGTAGTGGCCAATGCCATTGGTCCACACAAGTCTGTCTTTCCCAGAGGACAGTCTAGACGAACCAGCCTTCAAGGTTCCACCTGATTCTGTACCATTTACCTTTGAATGTTTCTCAAAGTGAGGCAAGGACCTGTTCTCGAAGCCATCCGGCACTCGGGAGCCGCTGATGGCTTGCTGTCCCACACAGGCGATCATCTGTGAGATGTTAATGAAAGAACCTGGGGAAACAGGCCAGGAATGGACCACTCATGTGTCGAAACAGTATTAACTGATGTATGAGCAACAGGGAAGGACAAAGAGGCACAGGACAGGTCCTTATTCTCAAGAGGCTGAGCCCAGGGGCAGGAAACCACGACACACACAGGGTGGAGCTGTCGGCAACACAGCATGCCTGAGTGACGGCTGGGTGAGCGAGAGGCTGCAGAAGAGTCAGGAGGGTGGGACTTCCAGGCACCTGCAGTGATTGCTCTGAGGACCCTGTCATCTAGACACGCAGGGTGGGGGAAGGAATTCCAGAATGGATACCAGAGTGGAAGCAAAGGTAGAACTGGGAAAGCCTGAGCTATGTGCCAAGAACAGGAAGCAGAAAATCAAGACTATAGAAATCGGATTTTAAAGTCCATTAAGAAAATGTATAGAAACTGAAACAGGGTGACTGAATGGGAAGGAGTATTGTAGTTTTTTTTTTGCCACAACACTAAATATGCCTTTCAAAAAGTGCTGGACTTCATTTTATTTACATTTATTATTATTATTTTAAAAAATATAGAAGTGGACTGAGCGGGCTCCCATCCACTAGTTCATTCCCCAAATGTTTGCTGAGGTTGAGCTGGGACCACAGCCAGGAACCCCAAACGTAATGCAGTTCCCCTCACAAAGGTGATAAGGTACACAGTCACTTAAGCCATTCCTGCTGCCCACCAGGAAGCTGCCAGCAGGAAGCTGGAGCCAGAGCCTGGAATGGAACCCAGGCACTCAGCTGTGGGATGTTGGCATCTTCACCACTAATGGCCCACTCCCTCCAGCTTTCCTTCTTTTCTAAATGTGTTTGTTTAAAGTACCTTCAAACTCAGAAATCAACTCACACTATATCAACCAGTTCCTCTGGTTAAAATTTCTAAAACACCAAGTCTCTGGTCGACCCTACATAAATGAAGCAAAGGCAGGTATTAGCCACAGTAATTTAATGTGTCTGGGACCCTCACACACCTGGATTTGAGGCCAGGCTCTGCTTGCAATTTTAGCATCCTTTTAATGCACACCCTGGGTGGCAGTGGGTGATGGCCCAGCAATGTGAGGCCCTGACACCCACTTGGGAGATCTGCAGCGTTAGCCTGGACAAGCTCAAGCTGTTGCAGGCATTTGGTGAGTGAACCAGTGGATGAGAGCTCTGTGCCTGTTTCTGCTTTTCAAATGAATAAAAATGAAAAGAAAAGGTAGACAAGAAAGAGTGCCCATGTGAAGTCATGATGCTCACCTTTGGAGCCACAGAGAGCCATGGTGAGGGGGCTGTTGCTCTTGTCCAGCTCCCGGAGGCAGGCGCTGCCAGCATGGTCACGGATCACAGACAGCTCCTTCAGGATCAGCGCCTGGTGGGAGGAAAGGTCAGTGGTGGTAGGGGGTCCTCACGGGCTCCGTAGATTACAGATGTCCCATCGGCCATTTAGAGACACCTCCAAATTCTGAGGTAAGATGTTGGCTTTCCCATCAGTGAAGATTTCAGAGCTTTAGAGGACGACATTGCCTAGCTTTGTAAGGTTCGTTCTATAACCAGTGTAATCTAAAAACCCAACAAGAACAAAACTTATTTCTGGAAGACAGAGTGCTCTGTGTAGAGTCTTGTATGTAGCAACATCTCGGCATGTCTACAGCTGTGTATACACATCCCCCATCTGTATGTAAATCTAAAACAATGTGGAGAAGGTAGAAGAGAACTGCCTGCACTGTTGATCATTTCTGTCTCCCTTTTCTGGTCAAGAACACATGGGAACTGCCACACACCAGTGATGGGGGGGGTTCTTCTGGAATGTCCTGGACCATGAGCTTGTCCACTGATTATCACCCTTCAAGTCACAAGGCAGGAGATTCCACCAGTTAAAACCTGGTGCTGCCAAGACCTGGTGGCATTTTCTAGGTAAGTCTGAGTGAGATTTAGTGAGATTAAGAATGAGTTAATGGTGAAAGCCTAACACATTCCAGGTCCCTCCCAATGTCTATTTGAAGGATCGTAAGAACAGGAGGCACAGAGAATTTAAGTACCAGTTACAGAAGGGGCCAAAGTGTGATGCTGGGACAACAACAGCTCTGTGTGGCAAATGAGGAGAAGGCTGTTTTTACTCCTGGGACAAGGGAGCTGGAAGAGACTGCAGAGTCTGACCAAAGGTCCTGCCCTCATTGAAGAGATGGGAACACACACAACTCAGGAATGAGATGGAACAACGCCACTGTCTTTTTATCCCGCTCTCCTTTGCCCCCTTCCCTTTGTGGTTCTGGCACAACCCTAGTGGATACCCCTTCACCCACTGTGTATGGGAGGGAGCCATGTGTCTCTGAGGGTCAGGCTCACCTCCAGGGTTTCCTCGGCTGTGCAGCCAGGCTGCTGCTGCAGCTTGCCTGTGTTTAGGGCCTCGATGTACTCATCACACTTCTTGTAGCCAGCATTCAGCAACTCGTACTTGGCTTTCAGCAGTCCTTGGCCAGGGGTGACATCACCAATCCCAATGGAGAAGCCACGGTTTGCTGTGGAAGGGTTGGCAGGCAGTGCAGGAAAAGAGTCATGTATGTTACTCATTGAACCTACACGATAAAGTTTATGGTAGGGTCTTCAAAGAGTTAATGGAAATTGTGTATTATTAAAAAAATGCATGGATTTCAAAAAGGTTTTTTGCACCAAAGTAAACTCATCTTTCAACTCTACTGTCCATGAACTCTTTGAAGTGTATATTGAATAACAGCCCTCCTTCCTCAGTGGGTGTGAGAGACATCCAGCAGGAGACATCCCAAACCAGGAGAGAACCCAATCCTCGGGCCCAGGTTTTCTTACCCAAACAAATTTACAACCCAGGTGCAGTAAGAGATCCTACCAGTACACTGCAGTAACATGAGGCTGCTGGGACACTCACACAGGTACACAGGAGCCAGCCTGGCCAGGCGTGACATGGCATCAGCAGCTTCATTCTGCCCCCAGTCGCGCAGCAAGATGTAGAAGATGTTGTTCTTGGAACCAGATCCCAAGGTACCTTTGTCCATGCTGCCACTCATCAACTCACTGTTCTGGATGGTGACATCTGGGAGAACGGCAATGTTCTTGTTTAGACAAAAGTATCACTTTGCTGCATTTTAAAATGAATGCAAGCCAACTGAGAAATAGAAATTCATTAAAAAATACATATTTAAGGGGCTGGTGTTGTGGGGTACCAGGTAAAGCTATTGCCTGCTCCACTTCCAATTCAGTTCCTTGCTAGTGTGCCCAAGGAAAACAGTGGAAGATTAACTAAGACTGTGGGCGCCTACATACACATGGGAGAACTGGGAAAAGCACCTGACTTTGGGCAGGCCCAGCTCTGGCCATTGTGACCACCTGGCGAACAAATCCGCAGATAGAATACCTTTCTCCCTCTCTCGCTGTAAGCCTGCTTTTCAAATAAATAAATCTCTTTAAAAAAATGGCCAAAAGGGAAAAAAATTCACTTATTTTTTTGAAAGCCAAAATCACACATCACAGGAAATGGCCAGGACTGAGCAGAGCTAAAGATGACAGACAGGGGCCTCATTTGGGTCTTCCATGTGGGTGGTAGCGGCCAAAGCATTTAGGCTATCTCCTGTTGCTTTCCCAGGCACATCTGGAGGGATTTGGTCGGAAGCAAAATAGTGAGGACTTACTGGCACCTATATGAAATGCTGGTCTCCCAGGCAGCAGCTCAATCCACTAGGCCATGAGGCCAGGCCCCAGAAATTCTTTGAGACTTTTTTTTAACTGAGGCAATAAAGGAATACATAAGGACTTTGGAAATTTTATAAGAGCCTTAGTTAGCTACAGTCCCAATTCTGAAATCTACAGATGCCCCCCAATCTGTGACTGTGAATGACAATGTCAAACACTTGTCATCTTTATGTCACCAGAGCATCAGATGAAATTTTATAAAATGCTTTGTAAAACTTAGTTGCTTGTTATTTACCTAAGATACTTAACAGCACCCCATTAACAGCCTAAAAATAGAATGAGGGAGCAGGTGCTCAGAATAGGTGGTAAAAACTTTCTTGGAAGCCTGGTGCAATGGCTCATGGCTAACTCCTCACCTTACAGGCACTGGGATCACATGAGACCAACAGTTCAAGTCCCAGCTGTTTCACTTCCTATCCAGCTCCCTGCTGTGGCCTGGGAAAGCAGCAGAGGATGACCCAAAGCCTTGGGACCTTGTACCCGCTTGGTAGACCAGGAAGAAGCTCCTGGCTCCTAATCAGCTCAGCTCAGCTATGGAAACTGGAGCTATCTGGGGAGTGAACCAGTAGATGGAAGATCTTTCACTGTCTCTCCTTCTCAATGTAAATCTGATCGGCCTTTCTGATCAAAACAGGCTTCTTGGAAGTTTACAACCCTTTTCAGAGAGCTTGAGGTCATGTCCTGGCTACACCTCCACTTGTAGCTGCCTGTTGACGTGCCAATCAGGACACCTGCACTCCGTTCCTGGCTTCAAATCAGCCCAGTCTCGGCTGCTGCAGGACAGAAGATTGGTTTGCCTCTCTTTCTTTCTCTGACTTTCAAACAAATAAAACACGTCAATAAACACCTAAAAATGAAAGTTGTATCTAGAAAAGCAACCTAAACAAGAACTCAAAATATCCTAATTAATAATCCAAAATATACAGTATTTTTTTCATTTCTGAAAACATTGCTTTACCTTTATTTGAAAGGCAGAGTGACAGAGAGAGAAGAGCAACCTCTTTTGGCCACTAGCTCACTCCCCAGTGTCTGTAGCAGTTGGCGCTGGGCCAGAACAAAACCAGCAGCCACGAACTCCAACTGTGTCTCCCACATCGGGGGAAGGACCTAGGCATTTGAGTCATTACTCGCTGCCTTCCAGAGTGTGCACCAGGAGCAAGCTGTACCCAAGACACAGGCCTGAGACCTGATTCCAGGCATGCTGGTCTAGGACGAGGGAGTCACGAGTCACAGCTTAGCCCATGCTGCTACAATGCCCACTCTTGCGTAGTGTATTTTCAAAGAAGTAAACCTCTTCATTAGGAGACCTCAGAACCGAATCCTGTAGATCGCTTCTTGTCTCAGAGACACGCTAGCTGCGCATGTGCTGGAGGGGCCTGCTAGCCTGTGGGCTGGAGGGTGTGGGCAGCGTGCACCAGAATGTGCTACTGAACAGCAACGTGCCGACGACCAGGCTGGGGTTGCCGTGGCTCAGGCAGGCTCAGCTCACATGCACTGAAATGCTCTCCCTGATATTCATGCTATCCAAAGCCAAGCAAGACCAAGGGAGACAGGCAAACATACTTCCACGCAGTAAATGCATCTTTTCGTATAAACTAATAAGATACATATATCAGTTTTATAATGAGACCCTGGTTCTTGGGTCTTTTCAAAAATAAAAAAGACAAATAGCACCAATAAGGAAAAACACTAGTCCCCTGAGTGGGGCCTTTCCAGCCACTGTGCTGGCTGTCCAGAAGCTTTCCAAGTAAACAGGCAGCACAGGCCTTGCGGGCACCTGGCTCTTGTGGCTGAGAGAAGGTTCCCAGGGCTGTGCTGGCCTCCTCCCAACCCCGGTCCCTCACTCACAGGAGTCGTTGACACACAGGTCTTCCCCTTTGCCACAGTACTGCTTGCCCTTGGTCCGCAGATTGGCCCTTACTCGGCTGTCGTCACTAGGCCTTAGGATGACGCTGAAGATCTGTTTGCCAGTCCACAGGGTGACAGGCTGGAGGACAGGGAGCCAGATCATTAACCATGGGCTGCCTCAGCCAGGCCAGGTGACCTAAGCTGGCTGCACAAGACTCAAGCCTGGCACCAACCCCGTGGCATTCCCTCCCTCCACACAAACACAATGGCGCTCGAGTGCACACGCACCTTCAGTATTGTAGGGGGTGGGAGGCGGACTTTGATTTTCTCATCCTTGCCAACCAGTATGGAGGCAATGATCTGGCAAGCCTTGGCCCGATCAAAGAACGTGTCTTTGAGAGTGAGGAGATAGGCACCTGTAAACGTTAAGAACACAGAACTAATGAAAGGAATGGAAATGTGAGACAATCATAGGTTTCTATTTTGAAACGAAGGCGGATCACCAGCAGCGGCTCTTGATCTCCCCTCCATCAAGGACCTGAGCTCCATGGCTAAGCTATATCCCCAGATGAAGCGACAGAATCTGGCTGAGAAGCCAGGCCTAGGGGAAGAGCTCAACAGGATGCTGAATTAGTTGAGCGACCAACGCACTGTTTCAAGACACTGGTAGTGGCTCACGTTCAGAGTCAGTAAGCCAACAGAATTCTACATGTGCAGCTAAATATCTTTTCAAGTCATCACACAAACCACTGAGTAAGAATCACTGTTTCACGACCATAAACCTCCCCGTAACTGAATTTCATGGACGCACCTGTTAGGAAATCCTGAATAGCAGCAATCAGGGGCTCACCATTCCTTGGGGTAACAAGATTCGCTTTAGTCTGAAGGAAGAATGATCACAGTCAGTTAGCCAGCCTGGGCTACAGGGTGCAGCCCAACAATCCGCATCACAAGGTTTCTGAAATGTCATGAACAAGGAACAAGCAGCTGAAAGCCGAGGCTGAGGGAGCAGACATCTGAATCCTAGCTGTCACCAGTTCCCAGCTCTTGGTGGCTAAATCCTCTCCTTGCAAAAGCTGGATCCCACATGGGCACCAGTTCTAATCCCGGCTTCTCCACTTCCCATCCAGCTTCCTGCTTGTGGCCTGGGAAAGCAGTCAAGGATGGTTCAAGGCCTTGGGAACCTGCATCCATGTGGGAGACCTGGAAGTGGCTACATTGCGGCCACTTGGGAGTGAACCAGTGCATGGAAGATCTTTCTTTCCAATAATATCTATCTTTCCAATAAAAATAAAGAATCTTTAGAAAAAAAAACCACGCCTGCCGGCTGCTCCTTCCCTGCTAAGCTAGACTGGCGAGAGACGCGGACAGGAGCGTGAGTGCAGGAGGCACTGTGGAGAAGTTTCCCGGGTAACCCAGGCCTGAGTCCCATGACAGCCCTGTGCATGCCACAGAGAGCTGCCAGGTCGGAACTGCCCTAACCTATTCCTGCACATGGGCAGCACATTCAGAGGCAGCTGCCCACTTGGAACCCCGAGACCGGCTCCCACTGGCGTCATCTGGAACGCTGGCAACACACTATTCTAACAAATTCCAGAGCACAGCAAGCACCTGGGATGGACACTATGTCACCAGATGTCAGTACCACCAAAGAGGGTGTTCAAAGCTCCAAAGAGACAAAACAATGTGGTGGCTTATAGCTGAGACTCAAGCCTGGCTTCTGGGCACTGAAGCCAGAATCTGGTCCCTCTGCCTCCCTCCTCACTGCGGCGGGGCCACTCTGCTGTACACACCCCCATCAGGACAAGGGCCTCCGCTTTTGCCTCCTCCGTCTGGGGAAGATGCAGGTTCATCTCGTCACCATCGAAGTCCGCGTTGTAGGGTGTGCACACACACTCGTTGAACCGGAAGGTTCGGTGGGGCTTGACCCTGGCCTGTGGAGCACAACATACAGTCAAAGGAAAAGGATTTTCAGGTATTTATCCAAAAGGCTCTCCAGCTGAAAGCAACAGAAAAAATGGCCCAGAAAAAAGGGACACATTCTATTAGGCAAGCAAATGTCTAGTGTCGTGTGTGAAGTGACACGGCTCATTTGTGGACTCCTCCACCAAGGTCTGTTGCCTCACACGGAGTAGTGGCTTGACTTTAACACCACAGGCCGACTGCAGCCCAGGAGCCAGCACAAAGAGAGCCTTCTGCTCAACTGTCCTTGCCTCCCATTGGCCAGTTCTGAGTGTCAAAACTGCTTAAGACACGCTGACTAAACAAAGAACTGGTCACTTAAACGGCCTCTCCTTCACAAACCAACCTTCTGGGCAAGCAACGGCCTGACACATAGGTGGGATTTGATGCTGTGGGTTAAGCCACAGCCTGCAACATCTCATTTCATATCCATTTCATATTAGAGTGCCTGAGGCCAATTCTCACCTCTGCTTCCTTTCCTATCTAGCTTCCTGCTTATGCATGCCCTGCTGGCAGCAAATGGAGGCTCATGCAGTGGGTCCATGCTATCTACGTGGGAGACCCTGGCTTTTGGTTCAACCTTGCCCAGCCCTGGCTGTTATAGGTACTGGGGGATTAAGTCAAGAGTATGGAAAGTCAAACTCTGATCACTCTGCCTTTCTAGATAAAAAAATGAACTGAAAATAAAAGCTGAAAAAACAAAACAAAACAGAGAAACACTATGAACAAAAGGAATGTTTTATCATAAGAAAAACTGGGGGTAATAAATGTGACAGAAGTGATAGGTTAGGCCCCAGGACGCAGGCAGGTTATGGTTTTGTCTGTAAGCTGCCACCTACAACACTGCTATGGGGAGGATCTACTTCGTGCAATTTCAGTGAGGAGAGGAAAGAAACTGATTCAAGTGCTGGCTGCGCCACTTCCATCCAGCTCCCTGCTAACGTGCCTGGGAAAACAAGGTATGATGGTTCAATTACTTGGGACCCTGAATCCATGTGGGAGACCTAGATGAAGCCCCTGCCTTCAAATGCCATTTCAGCCATTTAGGAGATGAATTTGCGGATCAAAATATTCTCTCTATGTTAACTCTGTTTTTCAAATAAGTAAGTAATTTTAAAAAGCAAAAAGGCACTTTTCAGACAACTGGGAACATCTGAATATGAACTGGATGCTACAGAATATCAAGAAATGGCTGCTGTATTTTTAGGTGTGACTGTGGCACTAGAGCTAGATAGGTTTTTCTTATGGCTGTAAACTGAACACACATGGAAAAAGGCAACAGTGTAAGAGGCAAGAGAAAACAAATGTGGCGTAATGTTGAAAATTTGCAATATACTTCCACGTGTATCTGCAAATTTTTAAATAAAAAGAATTTCTATACTAAAGCATCTAAAAATCAAGTTTCCAGAAAGGGAAGGTTTTTGTCACCTTTTTAAATTCCCACAGCCATAGCCCTGCACTCGTTAAATTCCTCTGATTACCATGTAAACTACTCAGCAACCGAATCCAGAAAAACAACCAGAGATGCCCACTACACACTGCTTGCAAAGGCTGGCAGATTTCACAGCTTTGCAGGGAAGAGCTGTTATGAATATTTAGCAAACTAAAACTGCCATCTCATTTTCATGTTAAACCTCTAGTAAAAGGAATCACTGCTGTTGATAAACTCAATCACAACAAAAGCTGAAGGTCTGGGTTGGACGACCACGGCGAAGAAAAGTCTCTTAAACAGTTTAGTTTCTTAGTTAATATCCAAATTTAAATCACAAGTCAATTTGCTGCCATATCTATTTTTAACACACACTTGTACACACACATATGCATGTACATATTTCTGTTTGCAAATCAAATTAAGCAAGCTGTGGTCACACTGATTTTTAATTTGATCCTGTTTTTATTGTTGAGGATGAATGTGACATTATAAATATTAGAATTATTGCAGAGAAGCTTGAAATTAAAAAGTTTGGCCCAAACTAAAAAGCAAGAGAAGACAGAGGCCAAAAGCTAGGAATAACTGAATTTCAGGAGTCCAGAATCAGCGTGGGAAACTGTCCGTACATCCCCACTGGAAAGGGGACAGTGGCAAGGTCCCCTTGCTTACCAGGTGTGCCATGATGCTCAGCTTGTGCAGCGAGGGCTGCCGGTTGAAGAGCACCACGTCTCCATCTATCAGGTGTCTCTCCACGATATCGCCATACTTGAGCTCTTGGGCCATCTTCTCTCGATTCCCGTATTTCAGAAACCTAAACATGGAGCAGCAGACATGACATCTGAGAACAAGGTCTCTGTAGCAGGTTCCTCCCCTTCAGGGCAGGAACCAAACTCTAAAACGGCCATATCTTACACACAGCACCATCGCTATCATTTAAGACTTGTTTATTTGAAAGTTACAGAGAGAGAAGTATCTTCAGTCTGTTCATCTACACTTTAGACGGTTGCCAAGGCTGGGGCTGGGCCGAGCAAAGCCAAGAGCTGGGAGCTTTATCCAGGTCTCTCACATGGGTGACTGCAGCCTGTCTACTTGGGTCATCCTCTGCTGCTTTCCCCAGGTCATTAGCAGGGAGTTGCACCGGGAGTGGGGCAGCTTGGATACAAACAAAGCCCATACGTGATGCTAACTTGCAGGAAGTGTTTTTACCTACTATGTCACATTGCCACCTTAAAGCATATACATATATATATTTTTTTAACGTTATTCATTTACTTGAGAGGCATAAAGAGACAGATGCTCCCATTCACTGGTTCCTTGCCCAAATGTCCGTAATGGCTACAGTTGGGCTGAGCTGAAAGAATGGACCCAGGCATTCAATTCAAATCTCCCAGGGGTAGCTACAAATTTCCCAAAATGGAAGGCTTCTGTCAGCCCTCTAAATTGCCATAACCATCCTGCATGTACTTGAGTAGCCTCCCAGAGTACATGCTAGCAGGAACGTGGAGCTGGAAATGGTGCTAGGTCTAAAACCCAAGCCTGCTGATTTGAGGTGCAAGCACATGAATTGTTGGCTAAAAATCCTATGTGCCACCAAGAAAAATATTTGCAGCACTGGTGCCAGATGTAGCACGTGAAGCCACTGCCAATGGTGCATCCCATGGGTAATGGTTCAAGTCCTAGTTGTTCTACTTCTGTTCCAGCTCCTTGTTTATGTGTTTGGGAAGGCAGTGGAGGATGGTCCAAGTACGTGGGTCCACGTAAATATGTGGGAGACCCAGAGGAAACAAGCTCCTGGCTCCCAGCATTGGACAGGCCCAGCTCCAACTGCTGCAGCCATCTGGGCAGTGGAGCATCAGATGAGAGATCTGTTTTTCTCTCCTTCTGTAATTATTTCAAATAAATAAAGTAAGAAAAACAGCTGCCTATTAAAGTATGACAGACTTCAAGATGTATCCTAAAGAAAACTGCCTCACAACCACAGAAATACAGCAATGCATCAGCTCCCCACCACCAGGGCCCTGCTGACAGTCCTCTTGTGAGAGAAAAAGGCACAGGGGGTCAGTTCATCTCACCCAGAGAGCCAGAGGAGTAGCATGCACCACGGGGTCAGGAGTGCACAGGACACCTGGGAAACCAGAAGGCACAGACAACCCCTGCTTTTGCACCTCAAGGCACCCTGTCCATCTAGATTCAGAGCAGTCCCAGCCTGGGAAAAAACGAACACTGCATGTGCGGTCAAAGAGAAATCAGAGCTGATGGCTCGAGTAACTTCCACCGGCTGGGATGTCGCACAGGACTCTGCTCTCGGCCACGGCCGAGTGTGGTGACAGGGAAGCTCACCTGGGAAGGCCAGGAGATGGAGTCGATCTGAAGACATACATACCTTTTCATGTGCATATGCCTCTGCTGAATGAAATTAGCTCCTGGGTGAACTTCAGGGCCATTCTGAACCAATTTCCTCAAAAAATGAATGTTAGCTTTATTCACCTGCAGGACCGGAAGGAAAAGAATAGTGAGAGCCTCCGGGGCTGGCAAGGCCAGCTGAGCTGTTTTAGTCTCGACTTTGTTGGTGTGGAGTCTCAGAGGAAGCCAGCCATCCTCAGGGCACCTGCTGACCGTAGTCCAGAGTGTGAGAACAAGGGACTGGCAAACAGCTGGTACCTTCATCAGAAACTATCTGCCAGGGTCTTCTAAAGTCTAACATGTTCTCCCAGTGGCACAGAGGCCCCGGTGGGTGCTGGTTGGGTTCTGTGAGAAGGAAATTCCCAGACCACCAGGGAGCCAGCCGAGGCTACCTGACAATGGCCAGATCTGGGCTAACTGTCTGTCACAGGAGGAGAGTCTCTTGTTACCAGGCCCTGCAGTTCTCCAGATGGCAACCTAGGGCTTTGCTAGGTATGCAGTGATGTAGTTATTTTAAAAAAATAACCTCTCTGAGGAGAGTTAAGCAAGAATGGCGTTGATTAAAGTATGAGATGTGAACCAGTATGAAAAGGTATTATGGAAAAGCTCTTCTCTGTAATAGACATACACATACATCACACATATACACACACATATCATAAAAAAAGGTGGTGAGGGTGGGGCTGGCATTGCGGTGCAGCAGGCACAGCTGCTGCTTGTGATGCAGGTACCCACTAGGGGCTCTAGTTCCAGTCATAGGTGCTCTAGCTTGCTAGTGGCCTAGGAAAGCAGTGGAAAATGGCCCAAGCCCTGGGGTCTCTGTACCTGTGTGGGAGACCTGGCAGAAGCTTCTGGTCCAGTTGTAGTGGATTTGGTCTCTGTGGACTAAATCAGCAGAAGCAAAAATTCTGTCTCTCCTACTTTATCTCTGCTTTTCAAACAAATGTAATACATCTAGAAAATTGTTATTTTATTATGTGAAAGGCAGAGAGAAAGAGAACAAGACAGGGAGGGAGAGGGAGAGATTTCATCTGCTGGTTTACTTTGCAAATAGCTGCAATGGCTGGGGCTAGACCTGGCCAAAAACAGGAGCCAGGAGCTTCTTCCAGGTCTCCCATGTGGGTGCAGGGCCCAAACAGTTTGCCTAGCCTCCCCTGCTTTCGCAGGTGCATCAGCAGAGAGCTGGATCAGAAGCAGAGCCAGTACTGGAGTTCCTGTCACCCAGATGGGAGATCTGGAGAGCTGCTTACTCCCGGCTTTGGCCTGGTCCAACCGCAGCTGCCAACCACTGTGGGCATTTGGGGAGTGAAAAAGTAATGGGGAGATCTACTGGTCCTTTAAAATTTTTTTTCACTTTATTTAAAAGGTGAAATTACATAGGAGAGATAGAGGACAGATGATCCATTGCTGGCTCATTCCCCAAATGGCTGCAGTAGCGAGCTGGGCTGGTTTAAAGGCAGGAGCCAGGGGTAACTTCCTGGTCTCCCACATGGGTGCAAGAGCCCGAGGACTTGGGCCCTCCTCTGTAATCTTCCTAGGCCACTAGCAGACAGCTGGATTGCAAGTGGAGCCGCTGGGACTCACACCGGTGTCCATATGGCATGCTGGATCCAGCCACAGGTGGAAGCTAAACCCACTATGCCACAGTGGCCCCTGTCATTTTACTTTTCAAATAAACTTAAAAATCAGATTGGGTTTAGAAGGGATGCTGGGAACTTTCCTCTGCACGCTATGTGGAACACTGAAAAGTAATGTGAAAGACTCTATTTACAGACCCTTGAACAGCCAAATGGCACTTACCTTCTCAGGGAAAGTTAGAATTTTGGCCACATGAACCGGAACAGCTACTTCATCAATCCGGAGGTTGGGGTCAGGTGAGATGACAGTTCTGCCAGAAAAATCCACTCTCTTTCCAGAGAGATTGCCTCTAAACCGACCTGAATGAATGATTTAAAAGTTACCCTAAGCTTCTGTGTCCCACTGCGTGCTACTGGGAGGGATGTGACCAGCAAGACTGCACTGAGGCTCTGCTCTCTGCATAACAAAGTAGCCCTGAGGGGTCTTCCTTAAGTCCCCAGTAATGCACATTAGGGACAAACTGCACAGACTTCACAGCACTGTGTGCCCAAGCAACCTACCTCTTAATTCCACTGCATACTTTCTAAAATACCCTCAGGATGCGTCATCACAGGGCACCGAAGGCAGGGGCTTACCCACCTTGCTTGCCCTTGAGGCGCTGGACAAAGCCGCGGGTCCACTTCTTGGGAGCCATGTTAAGGGGGATGCCCGAGAGCTCGCTGTTGATGTAGAGCGCGCACTGCAGCTGCAGGAAGTCCCAGTCCTCCATGATCATCTGCGTCTTGGCGCCCGAGATCCGATGCTAACAGGGGTGGGGTGTGAGCAGACAAGCCTGTCAACCTCTCCTTCGGGGACAGGTGTGTCACGCGATGCACAGGAGCCTGGGATGCACTGACCTTCTTAATGACATCATTCAGAAAGATGATTTCTGTCAACTTCATCGTCAGATCATCTTCATTGGTGCCTGACTTCAAGTCACTCACCACGGAGGGTCTGATACACAGGGGTGGCACCAAGAGTCGGGTGAGGATCAAATCGGAGGGCTTACCCGCTTCCGGGTTCATTAGGAGCAAGGGGACATCTTCGGCTGGGATTCGTTTAAATAAGTTCAGAACTATTAAGGGGTTCAAGTTTTCCTGTGTGTAAGGTGGGAAAACAAGGGATAGAGATTGCGTTAGCTTTTATTTTTTTTTAACATGTATTTACTTTTATTGGGAAGTCAGATTCACAGAGAGAAGGAGTTACAAACAGAAAGATCTTCAGCCACTGATTCACTCCCCAAGTGGATACAATGGCTGCAGCAGAGTTGACTGGAAGCCAGGAGCCAGGAGCTTCCTCCCAGTCTCCCACGCAGGTGCAGGGTTCCATCCTCCACTACGTTTCCAGGCCACAAGCAGGGAGCTGGATGGGAAGTGGGGCTGCTGGGACATGAACTGGCACCCATATCCCAGCGCATGCTAGGTGAGGACTTTAGCCAGCAGACAATTGTGCCAGGCCCACAAAAGTTGTTCTTAACAGTTGGAAACAGCTAGTTGGGTTGCTTGTTGAATAAATTCCATATATGGAAAACCATGAAGCCTTCCAAAGACAGCAGAGAAATCTAACTGTTGATACAGGCAGTATCCATAAAATATGGTAAAGCAATGGGCAGGTGCACACACAGTCTACTGTATGGAGCAAAGGCCGTCCTCTGCAGAGGGACAGCCAGGAACAGAGTGTTTACCGTGGAGTCCAGAGCTGTCTGGACGTGAGTAAAATGACCTTTCTCCCCATTCACACTCACTGAAATCTCCTGTCATAAACCAGAATTGCCTTTGAGTAACATCTGATAACAGTGTAATAAAGTTAACAACTCATTCACATTATGCAGGGTATGGCCATTATCAGAGGTTGGAAGATCAATGTCAGTTAGTTTGTATCCTACTGTTTACCCTTGACATTTTTGGGGGATCTAATTTCAGATGCCTTACTGTATGTTATAGGCAGGATCTGCTTTGCATCATTTCAGCAAAGCGCTGGCGCTGTGGTGTAGCCAGTTATGCCGCCACTTGCAGTGCCAGTAACCCACGTGGATGTTAGTTCCAGTCCTGGTTGCTTCACTTTCGATCCAGTTTCCTCCTAATGCTCTTGGGAAAGCAGCAGATATGGTCCAAGCACTTGGACCCTGGCAATTGTGTGTGAGACTTCTGGCTTCAGCTTGCCGCAGCCCTGGCCACTATGGCCATTTAGGGAGGGAACAAGGCCTCTTTCTCCCTCTCTTGGTAACTCTCCCTTTCAAATAAACAAGAGAAGCCTAATAAGAAGAGTTTAATTCAGGAAAAAAAAAAGGTGGGGGAAACACCAATAGCTATGCCCTCAGGACACTGAAGTGAGATGAAGGTACTGCGAGCTGGCTCTGGTCGCTCCCGTGCAGGAGGCAAGGCTTCCCCACACATGGCAGTCCCTCCTCAGCTGTCCCGCCTTCTGCACAGCCCCCTCTGTGCCACCTGCGGTGGTCAGGAAGACGTCTCCATGAACAGGAGTGCGATGAGGGCCAGGCCTCATCTGGAGCCACGCGGTCATCACCAGGCCAGAGCTAAGAACACTGGGAGCTGAAGGGTGCCAGGAGCACCAGGCCTGGCAGGAGCTGGCACCCTTCCAGAGCAGAGTACCAATCCTTTGTGTGCTCCTTGAGTGGCTTAGCCAGAGCCAGGGCTGCCGGCACGGTGAGCTCCTGCTCTACCCCTGCTCCACTTCTCAGCTGGCTCAGGCCAAGGCAGTGATCACAGGGGACCTGCTGCTGCTGCTCCTCGTCCACGACAGCATCAGTAACAGACCTGAACACTATGCTGCAACCACCTGTTGCACAGAGGCAGACAAAGCACATGGCTCTGAGACGGCTGAGAGCAAAGGAGCTCCAGACAGAAGGGGCAGCACGGAGGCAGCTGAGGCCCAGCCGTGGGGTGGGAGCTGCAGTGGAGGCTTCCCAAGGCTGAAGAAAAGCCGAGTACAAGCACACACACAGGAGGGTGGGATGGGAGCTCACCTCTGATAATGGCCATACCCTGTATAACGATGACAAGGAGCACCAATGATAAAATACTGCTGTTGCTGGGTGGTGTGCTCCACGCACCTGCCACGTGCCAGGCACTGCGCTAAGACCCCACCCTCGTATTCTCACAGCAGCCTCAAAGACAATATTCTCATAATCCGAACGCTACAGATGAGGAAAACTGCATCGAGGCTAGATTACGCACCCTGGTGGCCAAGCAGTGACGCATGGTACAGCTAGGCTCCTGTACCATAGGACTGCAGCTCTGCCTGGCCCCAAGGTCAGGGTCCTTAACCTAAACTCCCCTAAACCAGTTGCAGCAGCCTACCTAGATAAAGAAGGGTAGGCTGAGAGGCAGGTGGAGGCGGCAGGGCGGGGATCCTTGAAAGCCACACTGGATGCAGTGCTATGACTCTGAATTGGGGGTTGGGAGGAAGGTTCCTTCAGGGCCAAATCCCTTAGGAGACTTGTTCAAATACCACACCTGGCAGGTGCAGGAGAGTCAGTGTTCCCGATTGAGTAGAAGCAGGGAAGTGGTTCTGTAGCAAGGAAGCACTGTAGGATCCTGTGCAGGCAGCCAGACACACAAGGTGGCAGCGAGTGCAGAGTGAGCCTGCAGCTAAAGCCTCAGGCAGCAGAGCACACAACTGCACACACTCACTGACCGAGGCTGCTGATGGTCCCGTGGGCAGTGCCAATGTACTTTCCACCTGTGCCTTCTGAGCCTGCACCTCAGCTTCCCTGTGGCTGCCTCATCACACCTGACTTTCAGATAGTCCCGTTTCCAAGATGCTCCAGAGGGTCACACCTGGGTGCCCACTCACCTCTGAGTAAGGCGAGGACCTTAACCATTACGCTATCATGCCAGGGCCCTAAGAAACTTTTTAAAACCTAAAAAAAAAAAAAACTACTTTTAGAAAGGATTAAGGTAAGGACCTGACGTAGCCTAGTGGCTAAAGTCCTCGTCTTGCACATGCAGGGACCCCATATGGGGCAATGGTTTGTGTCCCGGTTGCTCTGCTTCCCATCCAGCTCCCTGCTTGTGACCGGGAAAGCACTGGAGGACAGCCCAAAGCCTTGGGAAACCCAGAAGAAGCTGTTGGCTCCTGGCTTTGGATCAGTTCAGCTCCAGCTGTTGCATCCAACTGGGGAGTGAACCAGCGGATAGAAGTTCTTTCTCTCTGTAAATCTGATTTCCACAATAAAAACAAATAAATTAAAAAAAAATTGTAGAGGCAGTAAGCCAGTCCACTTGGCAAGTGGTGCCCGATAAGCACCTGTGGGAGTCACGGGCATCTTTCTTGGCACGCTGTGCTGGTGCCATCTCGGAGAGGTCAGGCACAGTGCAGCAGCGGAGGGAGGACAGCAGGTGAGCGTGTCACCTCTGCGACAGGCACGCGCTTGTGCACTCACCTGTGCCCTGCTCAGCAGTGGCTCCACCTCTTTGTTGTGTTCAATGGCTGTCTCAAAGGACTGAAGGAAAGTGGAGACGACGGGATCTACCACTTTCTTGTTGGTCTTGTATTTCTCGTGGATTATCTTCAGTAATCCACATTTCTTCACGGTACCTGTAAAGAAGGAGAAACCATTTGTTTACTAAGAAGACCAACGATAAGAAGTGATATTTCTAGGGTGTCCTGGCATAGTTTGATTAATCATATGGCTGCAACTGTTGCTAGGCTCTTAAGCCTGGGCAGTGCGTGCGGCCAGCCGAGTGCACGACCCCAGCCTGCCGCAGTACGCAGTGTGTGAGGCCAGCCGAGTGCACGACCCCAGCCTGCCGCAGTACGCAGTGTGTGAGGCCAGCCGAGTGCACGAGCGCAGCAGCCGCAGCACGCAGTGTGTGAGGCCAGCCGAGTGCACGCCCAGCCGAGTGCACGAGCGCAGCAGCCGCAGTACGCAGTGTGTGAGGCCAGCCGAGTGCACGCCCAGCCGAGTGCACGAGCCCAGCCAGCCGCGACTCACCGTTGAAGGCGCCGCAGTGGCGGCAGGTGCTCTTCTTGCGGCACTTCTCCGAGATCTTCTTCTTCAGCCCTCGCTTCTGCAGGTACGTCAGGCCGGGCCTCTTCAGGTAGTCCAGGAACTGCTTCTTCTCCTCCAGGGACAGCAGGATGTGGCAGCAGCTTTTGCAGATCATCTTTTGAGAAGGGAGAGCAGAGGAAAATGTAGGCAAGCAGAGCAAGTTCCTCTGTCTGTAAGCTGACCCCCTTGTCCTGTCCAGTTAGTTCACAGGGCAGTCTCAGAGTGCTCGCTGTGCTCACAGCCAAGTGACAGGGTTTGTTTTTTTTTTAAAAAAAGATTTACTTATTTATTGGAAAGGCGGATGTACAGAGAGGAGGAGAGACAGAGAGGAAGATCCTCTGTCCGATGATTCACCCTCCAAGTGGCTGCAACAGCCAGTGCTGTGCTGATCTGAAGCCAGGAGCCAGGAACCTCCCTCCAGGTCTCCCACACGGGTGCAGGGTCCCAAGGCTTTAGGTCATCCTTGACTGCTTTCCCAGACCACAAGCAGGGAGCTGGATGGGAAGTGGAGCTGCTGGGATCAGGACTGGAACCCCTGGTACGTGCAAGGTGACGACTTTAGCTGCTAGGCCACCGCTCCAGGCCTTGTTTTGTTTGTTTTATTTATTTGAGAGACAGAGTAGCAGAGAGAAAAGAGGATAGCTTCTGTTTGCTGACGGAGTCCCCATTGCCTCCAGCAGCTGAGGGCAGGCATCCGGTTCTCCACCCACACATACAGGTGGCAGAACATGACTACACTGCTGCCTCTCAGTGTACAGCAGGAGCTGGATGGCAGTGCTGACTAGCTGGGACCTGAACCAGGCAAGTGGCAGCTTAGCTAACTGCGCCACAACACTTACTACGGTTGGGTTTTCTGACTTTCTTCGTGCACTTTACATTATTAGCACTATCATTATTGCTTTCTTTAGTGTACAGATACCTCCTTCTCAAGGGAAATGAAGAATTCTGAAGGATTTCGACATCTAGATTAAACCATGACGACTTTAGCGTAAACTTTTCCCCAGACGTATTCTACACCACTCACAATTTCTAATGCCAGTGTCCTTGCCAGCCACCCCAGGATGCACGCTGTGTGCTTACCTGCAAGATGCCTATGACGGCTCGGAAGTACCCGACGTGGAAACACGGCAACTCCAGGTCAATGTAGCCGTAATGGCCCAGGCAGTCGGCCAAGTTTTTCCCGCAGGTTTCACAAGGCCGGTCCTTTTCACTTGTCCCCTTTGGAGGAAAGCACAGCCTGCTGTTCACGGAGAGACCACCGCAGGGTGGGGTGAGGGGACAGGCCAGGGGAATCAGAGCTTTGCCGCCCCAAGGCCCGGGCGCTGCTCGAGATGTGCAGGGCACAGTCCTTGCTCGGTCTGCTCCTCCGCCCCAGGCCCTCCTCCCTCCTAGGCCCTTCTCCATCCCACGCCCTCCTCAGCACCCAGGGCCTCACCATCCTGTGGTCCAGCACGCCGTACAGCAGCGGGGCATGGTTGTTGTCCTGGCTATATAGGTTCTTGCTCACGACCTGGATGTGCGCCTGCTGCCGCATCTCCTCGGGTGACTTTATGCCGAAACAGATGTGGCTTCTGGGAGGGAAACACACCAGGCAGCAGTAAAACCTGCTCGCTTCGGAGGCCACTCTGCACTGCCCCGCAAGAGATTGCCACAGCCCCCGTTGCTTCGACCCAGAACCACTCACCCCACCCAACCCTACTACAATGCAGTTTCTTCTTTTCCTAAAGTTAACTGTGCGGGCCCAGCCCATCACAGCAACTTCTCTTGCTGCTGAATCAAGAACAGTCTGCCCCTTGCATCTCTCTGAGGCCCTGGCAGTCCTTTCTTCCCTTGGTCCAGCCGACAATGCCCAGGAGACTGGCTTCCCCTTTCCGGATGCTGCCCCTGCAGTTCCCCGAGCTCCCTGCTGTTAAAACCCTCACCCTCTTTGTATCCCACACTTGTTCCTGAGTGTGTGTGTCGCTGGTGCACACACCAAGGCCTGTCACATCTCTGTAGGTCAGTTACTGCTCCTCAGTTGGACAGACATAGGCACTTCTTTCTGGAAAGTTCTGCCTAGATATCTCATAGGCTTTTTCGACTCGAAAGATGTGGAAACATACTTTTTCTCCCATGTCAGTCTGTTGATTGTTACGACAAACTAGGTTTCCACTCCCTGTCAGGTGCCGTGCTCTGGGCTGAGGCTACAGATTGGAAAGGGTGGATGACTTGGTGCTCACAGTGCAGGGCAGGAAACACAGAAACACAGAACAGGGCAAGGCACAGAATCAGGAACAGGTGCAGACTTAGCCCTGGCGGAGGGAGTGCAGGAGACCAGCCATGCAATGTGATCAGAAAACCTCTCTGGTCATGTGCTTCTCGTGCTGAGCTGCTGCCTGGACCAACAGGTGTCTGCTCTTTGGCTCTTTAACTTTGCTAGCTTTCTTTTTTTTTTTTTTTCAAAGATTTACTTAGTTACTATTTTGAAAGTTAGGGTTACAGAGATCCTGCATGAACTGGTTCATTCCTTAAATGGACATAATGGCTAGAGCTGGGGCTGGTCTAAAGCTGGGAGCTTTTCCTGGGACTCCTGTGTGGGTGCAGGGGTCCAGGAAGTTGGGCCATCTTCTGCTGCATGTTTGGGTACATAAGCTGGATCGGAAGTGCAGCAGCTGCGACTCCAATTGGCTCCGATATGGGATGCTGGCACTGATGGCCAGACCTGCTACACCTTGGCACCGGCACCCGTTAGCTTTCTTACTGCCAGAGAAGAGTAAAAATTAAAAGCGCAGGCCCTGTGGCGCAGCCGGCTAAGGGCCAGCAGATGCTAGCACCCTGTAGTGCTGCTGGTTTCAGCCATGGCTAGCTACTCGTTTCAACTTAGGGCCCCAGCTACTCCTCTGGGAGAGCAGGTTGGCAGTTCCAGGCCCTTGGCTTTAGCCTGGTCCAGATCTGGCTGTTGCCACCATTCGGGGGATGAACCGGTGGATGTAAGATCTCTATTTTGTTTGCTGCTTTCAATTACATACAATATATAAGCCATTAAGAACTGAGTTAATATAAGGTTGTGCAGAATGGACACGTTGGCAGAGTTTTGAACACAAGAGAGCTGGTGACAGATGACCAGGTGGATAAAGTGATCTTCCACAAGAATGCTCATTGAGATGGTCCCCTGTTGAAAACCCCTCAAATGCTTACAAGGTTTCCCGCTTGCTTCTCTCCCCATGGCACCCCTCGAAGGATGCCTGGTCTCTCGGACCCTGTCTGTGGCTGCATTAGCCGCAGCCAGCGTTAACTGGCCCACCTTCTGCAGCCGGGCCAGAGCGTGCCCCATCCTTGAAGTACGACGCGGGGTCTTGGCACCCAGCACACCCCTGGCACCTGCTGCAGGGGAGCCGGATTCAAGCTCTGCCAAGAACTGTGAGCAGGGGCCTCGTCAACGGTACCAAAGGCAAGGGCAGGGCTGTCTTGTCCCGTGCCCCGGGTCCAGCCTTCGCCCTGGCAGACCACCCTCGGTGTCAGGCGCTCCCGTCGCTGCCCCAAGGGGTCACCGCACGCCTCTGCGAGCGCCAACACCCTGCCAGGGACACCCCGATCCGGGGGTGCCGAGACCTGCCCTCGTCCTCGTGGGCGTTGAGGACGGCGTCCGCTCCCTCCGGGCCCTGCCTCCCCTCCATCCCTTAGGGATCCCGCACGTCTCGGTCCTGCAAGCCGAGAGTGAGCGGCTCTGGCTCCCTCTTACATTTTCTTGGCCACATCCGTCTCCCGGAACTGCTCCTTCACCATGGTGGCGGCCGCGGGGTGTCGGGTTAGAGAGCTGGCGTCCTGAGGGCGGCCCGCACCTGCCCCGGGTGCTCCGGAACGCCGGGCTAAGCGTCCCCGCGCCCAGCCGGCCGCCGTAGAGCGTCCCACGTGGCCGCTCCGGCTTCCGCTACTCGCCGGCGCGTCGGTCTGTGCAGAGAGGCTCCGCACGCGCCGGCCTGGGTCCTCCTGCCACAGCGTCTCCCCGTGGCTCTTCCGGAGACTGCCGCTAAACTCAAAACCATTTCTGATGTCCTTTCTCCGGGTCTGCACACAGGACACGGCCTGACGACTTCCACGCCCATCACCCACATGACAAGCCAGTCTGTATTTAAGAGGTTGTCTTAGGCATTTTCAGTCAGGCAGTGGCTTGGCCAGCCCCACGGCCCAGGCCACGCCCCCACGCGACGCCATCCGGGGGCCTTCCGTGTGCGCTGATATGATTGGCCGGCCCCGCGCGACTCTCTTTTCCTCCCTGGCTGTTTGAGGGTCTACCGCCATCATGGTGAGTTCCCCGGACTCTGGTCCTCATCCGTGTCGTATCCGAGCCATCCTTCGTCCCTCGGCCATGATGAGTGATCGGCCAGCGCGCAGAGCCTCGTCTGTGTCTTGCCGGCCGTGTTTGGTGGAGGTCGATTGCCGAGGGAGCTGGCTGGCTGCCGGCGCGTTCTGGCGCTGTGGCTGCATGGCGCCCGAGGACGTTGGAGCGCGCAGGGCTGGGTGGGCGGCCCGGGACCCCCGAGCTGGGCTGGGCGGCTGTAGGCGGCGCGCGGGCGGAGCGGAGGCAGGAGCTGCCTGAGATCGCGGCCGGGCAGGGACGCCGTCCCCAGGGGCGCACGGAGACGCCATCCCTGCGGGTGCCGCCGTCTGCTCTCTGGTCATTGGTGTTTTCAGGAGATCAGCGCCCTGTTGGAAGGTGGGATGTTCCCTGTTGCTGACTTGGGGGTTTGTGGTTGAGCTCGGGTGACCGTGAGTGTGGTATGAACTCCGATCCTGCGTGTTACCCGTGCAGCGAGCTCGCGGGGAGGGACGCGCCCACGGGATGGGCTGGCCGAGGAAACGTGGCCAGGTGCGCTGTGGAGATGCGCCCCACGATTTCTGCGGGAGGAAATGCAGCCCCCAGGTCGTGTCTTTCTCAAAGGACACAAACGGGAATGCACTGCAAAGTCTAAACATGCATTGGACTGGGCCGGCTGGAGAGGAGCCCGCAGGTGGTGGCTTGCCGCTTTTAAGCCTGGGCCCTCCAGCTCTTTGGTGAAATTCCTTGTGGTCAACAGTTGGGTAGTGTTTGGGGCTTTCTGACTTGGGCAGGGGCCGAGCAGGTGCAGGGTGCTGAGGTCGTCATCCGAGGCAGGTGCAGGCAGGGTCGCGGGCAGGGGGTCGAGGACAGGATCCCACTTCGGACAGCACAGCGACCTCCACCGGGACCGAGTGGTGGGCTCCCCGCGGTCGCATGCGGCTTTGGTTGGTTAGGTGTTGTCCTGAGCGCTTGCTGTCAGGCTGGGGAAATCGGCTTTGCCTTTGTTTTTAAAATCAACTCTGTTCTGTTTTTTTAGAATGACACAGTCACCATCCGGACCAGGAAGTTCATGACTAACAGACTGCTTCAGAGGAAACAAATGGTGAGGAAGGGCCTCCTGGCAGGGGTGCTTACCTTAAGATGCGTTTCGACGGAGCGCACAGTCAACCTCCTGTCTGCTTTCAGGTCATCGATGTGCTCCACCCTGGGAAGGCGACCGTACCCAAGACAGAAATCCGGGAGAAGCTAGCCAAAATGTACAAGACTACGCCCGACGTCATCTTCGTGTTTGGGTTCCGAACTCACTTCGGCGGTGGCAAGACAACAGGCTTTGGCATGATTTACGATTCCTTGGACTACGCCAAGAAAAACGAACCCAAACACAGACTCGCAAGAGTATGTGTCTTTTTAAGATTGGTTTGGCAGCTCACAGCGTTGTGCTGTGGATACATAGCAGGGACAAGGGCACACAGCTTGGGAAGGACCGACCGGCCCGCCTCACAGGCCGTATCTCTGTAGGCAGGCCTGGGGGTTAGCGCTGCAGCCTGGTGTCTGAATTGGGTTTGGAAGGTGGGTTTAGGAGTGGAGGGATGAGGTGGGGGAAGCAGGCTGCTGATGGCCTTGGCATTTGGGCTTACTCTCACAGAAATCTTGGAACCAGGGTTGTTTCCAGGTCACCTGCCTGCCAGGCACTACAGAGTGCACTGGGCAGGGATCCTGTTCCCTGCTGGCGAATGGCAAACGTTGCCAGCTTGAAATGCTACTTCAGTCTGTTCCCTTTAAAACTGTTTGATTCCTGGTCCTCCAGGTACCCCGAGGTCCTGGGGGACCGGCGGAGGTCCTGGGGGCGGCAGGCTTGCTGGGCAGTGTGGATGATGAGACTGTGTGTATGTCTGCAGCATGGCCTGTATGAGAAAAAGAAGACTTCGAGGAAGCAGCGGAAGGAGAGGAAGAACCGGATGAAGAAGGTCCGGGGAACTGCCAAGGCCAATGTCGGAGCTGGCAAAAAGGTACGGTGTCTCAGCAATGCCAGCTTGTTTGTCAATCTTGAGTGTTTGCAAAATGTCGATTTTGTTAATGACTTATCTTAATGTTTCTCCCCCCCCCACCCCCCTGTGCTGGATGACAGAAGGTAACGTGTTCCAGAGGCTGTGTGGCATAGTGTCTGCACCCTACACCTGAGTAGAGTAGCTTGGCCCACCCCCGCAGCCCTGATGAGGGTGAAGCATGGGGCCACATTGGTGCAGCCGTCCCGGAGGGCACCTGGTGAGCCCTGTCGGGGAGTTTTCCTTTGCCCGTTGTGACCTGCTGTTGCAGGAGAGCGGGTCTCCATCCCTGGGATTAAACCCACCGCTCACCACTCCTGGCTTAAGGAACGGCTGTATCGGTGTGGCCCCTGCTTTGCCTGGCGCCCTGTGGAGGCGCCGAGAGATCCTAGCCTTGCTTTCCAATTAGCCCAGAGCTCGGTGACTGGAATGATGAGCAACTTTGTACCAGCTTTGCCAGCTAGTTGTGAATAGTTGAATTAAGGTGGTGGGTTGTTAAATTAACAAATAATCAAGTGTTCTGTGAATTTTTTTTGCTTTCTCCTTCCTACTTGGATTTCTTGTTCATCAGAAATGAAGTGTCTAGCAGGTACTGAGATTGTAAGCACGGTGTGGGGATGCGTCACCTTCACTGAGTTTGCTTTGCATGTTAGCGTTTGTACTTCAGTTTGGTAGCGTGATCAGATTGAATGTCAATGCCGTTTTGAGATAGTTATGAGCAAAGGAGAAGGGCTTGACTCGCACTCACCTGGGAGGCGCAGAAGCACATGGTATGTGGAGAGGTGCCTCACCAGAGGAAGATGGGGAGCACTTGGGAAATGGCGGGGTGTTCAGGAAAGGCTGTAGTTAGTGCTGGGGCTTATTCAGGGCATGTGACCTTGGGCTGTTGGCCCCTGGGCTTGGAGGGTGTGTCATACTGGGGCTCTCGGAGGCCACAGCAAGTTAATTCTAGGGCAGCTGTGGCGGAAAAGCTTGTCTGCACACCTGGCATTGCCTTCCATGTTCTTGCATAATGTCCAGGTCTCTGGTGCCACCTTTATCGAGCTGTTTTTGGGATTATAAACTCCCATCAGAGCCTGTTATAGCACTAACCATGAATGTCTTGTTCCATATTCCCTTTTTGCTTGATTAGCCTGAGTGTGCTAAGGGTCAGGGTGGGGGCTTTTGGCAGACTGCTGCTAGCAAAGTGGACTGTGGCCACCAACTCCCCACCAGCACCTTGGAGGTGTGTGTCAGGAGAAACTGCACTGCTAGAGCGGCTCCCTGGTGGGACAGTGGGCCTTTGAGTCCCACGTGTATTGGGCTGAGCCGTTGCCAGTCGGGCAGGTGCAGCTCCCTGGTCCCACCGCGGACAGGAAAACCAGTTCTGCCTGGGCTGGTGCTGGGCTCGATCGCCTTCTGTGTGCAGTGTGGTGGTTTTAAGTAGTCTCCTTTTGAAGAGCAATTGCAGTGTTTGCTACAAAGTCAGATCTTACCTTTTAAATACTTGCTTGCACTACTTCTGTGGTGTGGATGCTGACTTTGAAAGTGTGCAACTGGGAAAGCTTTTAAAACACATGGTGTGTGCCTGGGTATTTTCGTGGAGGTTGAGTTAGACTTGACTGATCCTCGGCCAGCCAGTGGGGGTACTATGACATGAGCTGCTGGGCAGAGCACAGGGCCTGGGCGCAGCTGTGCGCTTCACGCACGTGCAGGCACTGGTACGACCTGGATGTGGTACCAGGGTGGCATGATGACTTGTCTCTTGTAGTCATCATGCCCCCTTTGCATCAGCCGCAGTAGTCAGGCAGGCGTCTGGATTGGACTAGCTCAGCGAAGGAGAAGGCGTCTGGAGGATGCCTGCATGCACCTGGAGGAGTCGGGCTTGGAAAGGGACCATTAACAATGTGTTTTTTCCCCTCTTTCCGCTTCCCTTCCCCGCCACTGATTCAGTGAGCTGGAGATGGATCACAGGTATCATTCAAGCTTTTCATGTAGATTGTTAGATACTTTGGTTAAGTCTAAAGATCGTGTTTAAACGTTTACCAAATAATTTACCAGAGTTGTAACCTCAAAGTATACTAATAGCATGGTTTTGTGCTTTAAAGTTGTTAATGTTTAACCTGTTTTGTTTTCTAACTTGAATGTTTTATTTCTTAATGTTACATTGTTAATAACTTCACATAGTTTGATTCTAGGTAGTTAATAACTTCTGCATGTGTTATTTTGGATTTTGTGAAGACTTGAACCTTTTTTTAGTTCAAAAGTTTGAAGTTTTAAAACAATTCTAAAGACAGTTGCTAACTTAATCTTTTTCTCTTCACAGCCGAAGGAGTAGATTTTACAGTGACTATCTGCGGAGATTTGCGAGTTTTTCACGGGAATTAATAAAATGTAAAAAAAAAACTTCCTGTGTGTCTCGTTTGGACTACATTTGAAGTTCACCTGCAGTTTTACGTTCACATGTTCCATGATTGTATTTGGAAATCTGCTTTCATTTTGTTGGAAAGGCAGACACGAGGAGAACTGCTCAGGGTCTGTGTAGCCAGCCTGGGCGAGACCGAAGCCAGTGGTCTGTGCCGCTGGGTAGCAGAGCAGGCATGCTTGGCTGGCACCTCCTTCCTGCCAGGGCATCCGTGAGAAGCTGGACTGGGAATGTAAGTCGCAGGCTTTGTGAGTGGCAGCCTCACTACCGACCCATACACCTGGCACCTTTTACCCTGTAACTCAAACCATTGAACTGTCCTTAGTTTGAAAGGCAGAGATGGTGCTTCAGTCCACGGTTCACCCCTCAAATGCTCCGTAGCCGGCTGCAGCCTAGAGTCCAGAACTGCTGCGACCCCAAGTGCTTGAGCCGTTGCTGCCTCGCTGCGTGTGTATTTATTTGCAAGTTGGAACCTGAAGTGCGGGCAGCTTGCTGGAGGCTGCAGGTGTCAGGTGGGGAGTTGGTGCTGGACTGTGTCACCCATGTAGTGGAGCTTGTTGCAGACTACAGTAGGTTGTGGGCTGGCCTTATTAGGAATTGGTGGGCACCAGTAATGGAAGCTGTACTCCTCTGTGGCTGAGATGGGTTGAGAGTCTTAGTAATGCTTCAGGGGTTGCTTGCCTTGAGGCAAGGTAGGCAGTGGTTTTTATGGGTGAGGTGCTTTTAGTCTGCAGTTGGTGTGTGGCTGTAGGGGGCCTGAACAGGTTGGAGTGAGATGTGGAGGCCTCACTTGAGCAGTTCTCTGCCAGTGTGGAACTTAAGTCTGTTTGCAAGAGGGAGTTGTAATTAACCTGTGTTGGGATGTTACAGAAGTCCAACTGTAGTCTTGGTGAGCCCCACGTGCTGGGGGCTTGGCAAGGCTCAGATGAGCTTGGCGTAAGGGCTCAGATGTCCAGTCATTTGGGCTGAGAAGCAGTTGTGGCTCTTTGGGGGGGGGCGGTTGGTGGCCTGACTCTAGGGACATGTATTCTGTCTCCAAGCCACTGCCACTTCCTGTCCCCTCTGTTGGCTGCTGTTCCCTGTTCTACAGGTGTGGTCTCTGAGCTCTTGTGTGGATTATCCTGATCTATGTTTATTGAGTAGGCAGAGTTAGAGGAGCACAGCTGAAGCTGGAAGCTGCTTCTTGGCTAACTTAGACTTGAAGTATGTTCTTTCCCCGACTCTCCTGGGGTTGTCAAACCTGAGGTTGGTCTCCTTGTGCTGTCAGCAGTCTTCAGAAGTGAGCCTCTGGGAAAGTGGCAGCATGTGGCATAGTGGCACTCTACTTCCTGACGTTGGACTAGCTTAAAGAAAATCAGTAGTTTTTGAATGGCAGTGCGGGAGCAGTCATTACCAAGGGAATGGTTGGGTGCCTTTTTTTTTTTAAATTAACATTTTTATTGGAAAGGCAGATATACAGAGAGAAGTTGATAGAGAAAGATCCTCTGTCTGCTATTTGCTCCCCCAGCAGCTGCAATGGCTAGAGTTGACCTTAGCAGCAATCAGAAACTTCCGGGTCTCCCACATGGGTGCACGGTCCCAATGCTTCGGGCCATCCTCCACTGCTCTAGGCTACAGGCAGCGAGCTGGAGCAGCTAGGATTCCACATGGCATCCCGGTGTGTGCAAGGTGAGGACTTAAGCCAGTAAGTTACCATTCCTGATTGGGGTGCTTTTTAGCTTCCCCTAGCTTTGGGTGTTTTCTGTGCACACTGGAGCAACCAGGCACCTTGAACTGTTACCTGCAAGTTGTTTAGAGATAGCTTCTTGCCACCTTTGTACCTAACAAAGTACAAAATAGGTACATGTCAAATATACATTGCCATGGATAAATTGTAATGGAGATGCATTCTGGGAAGAAGTACTATGTAGGATGCATCTACTTCCAAATGGAAGTAGAACTTCCAGTGAAACATTGAACTACACCTTTATAGCGTACCAGACTTTACCTTGCCATATGCCTAGTGTTCAGCTTGCAACCATTACTGAACTGCAGTAATGTAATTCCAAGAACAGGAGGGGGAAGGGAAGGAAGGGAAGGGGTAGAAGAACCCTCTACCTACAAAACACCTAGAGAACAGTAAGCGTGTTGCATTGGAGTCTGCCAGCCATGGCAGCCGTTGATGGGCAGTACCCCAAGAGGCAGGTGTCGGGCCCGTGTTGTGGAAGTCGCTCAACTGAGCGGGCTTTTAAAATTTTTTTTACATTTACAGTTAGGGCACAAAGGTTCAAGGGCTACAGAAAAGTGGGTAAGACTTGTTTCCACATTTTTTTCCTCTCTAGGGTAAAGGGAGAAGCCCCAACCAGTGTCCCACCCATCCCAGGATCCTGATGTGGGGCATGCTCCAAGGGTCTTGGTCAGGTGGTTTTGACAGTTAAACAGTTATGAATTGCTGCCACTCTCACCACTCCAAGCAGGATGAGGTAGCTGAAGAGTCCACCAAGTGACATAGTCCATGTTTTTTGTTTTCACTTTTTTTTTTTTAAAGCCTGCAGTGGACTTGGGTTTCTTTACCAACTATGCCCAGCGAGGTGCCACATACCAAAGGATTGTTGGGTAAGAGTTGGGTGGCCAACTACACTCCCATGTGAGCTGCTTTGTGCCCGAGTCCCTGCTGGACCTGAGGAGATAAGCTGAACATGTCCATGAAGTTCCATAGGCCCAGGACCTGATAGCACTGTGCCTGTTCTTAGCATGAGAGCAAGGAGTGCCCAAGTACAAAAGGAACTGGGCTAAGAAGGCCAGTGCAGGCAGGCTGGGGCCTGGGGGTTCCCAGGGGTGAGCACCAGCTGGGTCCGGAGGCTGTCTGGTTGAGATACAGGGAACAGTGTTCTTTGGGGCCTTGAAAGATAAGGGAGAGGCAAAGAGCAAGCAGACAGCCAAGGAACAAGGCCAGCCAGTGGTTCTTCAGGGAAATGGGAGCAGAGTGCAGGGCTTAGCTTGTATTTTCCTGTCTGCGCCTCAGCTCCAGGGACTGGGTCAGTGAGTTCCTAAGCTGGCCACTTGGGAACTAGTTAAAAGTATAGGTGTCTGGGCCTGGTGCCGTAGCCTAGTAGCTAAAGTCCCCACCTTGCACATGCTCCAGGATCCCATATGGGCGCTGGTTCATATCCTGGCTGTTCCATTTCACATCTAGCTCCCTACTTGTGACCTGGGAAAGCAGTCAAGGACGGCCCAAAACTTTGGGACCCTGCACCCATGTGGGAGACCTGGAAGAGGTTCCTGTCTCCTGGTTTCAGATTGGCTCACCTCCGGACGTGGTGGTCACTTGGGGAGTGAATTGACAGATGGAAGATCTTCCTCACTGTATATCTGACTTAATAAAAATAAATCTTTAAAAAAATACATACATATATATAGGTGTCCAGTTTCTTACCCCAGTTTTCCTAGGGTCTGAAGTCTTAACAGCATCAAGAAGATGCTGACTTGGCACGTTCCGGGAATTCTGTCCCTAGTAGGACACACTGTCCTTCCTGGATAAGCTGCTGGGTGACCAGTAATGCTTTTAGAATTGTTAATATCTTTGGGAGTAGAATAAGCTCCAGCACTGAGCTAAGTATGTGGTACAGATTGGTTCCTTCATTTACAAAAGATATGAGGGAGGGAGTGTGGCCCCATTTTACAGATTAGTAAACGGAGACTCGGGGAGGTTAAGGCTGTGTCGTGCTGGCATTGTAGGATGAGCCTGGGGACATTTGTGCTCCATCTCATGAAGGGGCTAGGATTCCTCCCCTCACATATATTTGCTTTTAATGAATTTGTGAATGTTACGATATTCTTGTACTACTGGGGACTAGGGTTTGTGGTATGAAAATAAGTAAATCCAAAAAAAAACCCTCAAATACAGCATCCTGGCATCCCTCATCTCCCGGGTCAGAAGCTGGGCGGTCTGACAAGATCTGCGTTTGTAACAGTCCTCGGCACGGTGCAGTCGCGGCCTGGAGAGCCGGGGACCTGCGAGGTGGGCGGGGAGAGCTGCTGCAGATCCACAAGGGTAGGACCAGGTGGGCCAGTGGCTGGCCCGGCCTTCCCTTTCCGGGAACAGAGCCGGCACGCCCGCGGCCAGCCACAAGGGGCCGCTGTGGACAC